AATAACCAGACTTTACACTAAAAAGATATAAAGCATAATATGAAGCCAACAAAACAAAAATAAAAAGGAAAAAGAGGCCACAGCGATTAATCCAAGCGTGCCATTTCTTCCGTAAATGTCCATTGAAATGCAATATCCACTTTTGATTTCTGAAAAATAATCCAGTATGGGAAATTAATCCATATCTTTGCATAAACTAGATGGCATCTTGCTTTTAAATGTATATAACTCACAAATGTATGTGTAGGATATAATTATATAATAGCAAAAACAATTGGGTATGACCACCATTTGTGCACAATCCTAAGTGCAAAAATGTAGGAAGGAAAGTTCAAAAAACCTTTATATTTGAACATTCATGACACAGCCCTGATCCACAAAAAAGCAGCCATAATCGCGTAAAACCATAATCTTGGCGTAAAACGCCAAAAGTGAAACGGATAATAATTGAAATAAATAACGCAATAATCTTATTTTCCCTCACCTCTACTTCAATGGTTTGATCCCTCGTAGCACATGGAACTGAGCAGATTTCTTTGGGGTTCTCTTGATATATACTATTATTTAAAGTTGAAGAATTGTGTTGGAGTTGCCTTCATCACAACTCTGAAAACACAACCACTATGATGATGGAGTTCTCCTAGTGCCTACTGTTAGGCTGTGTTTTTCCTCAGACCTCATCCGCTCAGGGGACCGTGTTAAAACCTCATTCCGCCTTGTGTCCCGTTTCGGAAGTGAACAATGCGTCATCTCACTAGTCGCAGGCAGAGCGGTTACACAGTTTGTTTTTTCCACTTTCCTCCCACTACACATAACGCACACAGGAAGCAAATAAAATCGATCTGAAATGTTGAAGTCGTGATTCTGACAGGTGCATGTATTTGTCAAATAATTATGGAGTAAAGTCCACAAAGGGGTCAGTTAGAGGCAGCGTAGTATTGCAAACAATGCCAGCGAAAAGCCTTACTTTCTAAGAATAGTTTATTTCCCTCAGCTGCAGATTGAAAAACCAGTAAACTCCGATTTTAAATCTCTAATTCTACTAAAAATTGTGAAACTAATGTAAAGATATATGCATTGAATTAATGAAGCCATAGTAAAATCCCACATTTTGACCTGCATGATTACCAGCTTATTATCTCATTTCCCCATGGAAACCTTTTGTATCATTGATATAGAAGGACTAAGAAATAATTGACCAACTAATCAAAACAAAACAACCAAAGACCGACAGCTTATCCACCCAACTGATGGATAAAGTTGATACCAGGTCAGACAAAACTGCCTTGTGACAAAAAGAACCAACTTTATTATAGTGTGTGTATAAGGTAATTGGTGAGAATACAAACAAAGATGAAATCTGTTTACTTGAGGGACATGGGAAGACAAGCCGAAGTAACACAGACTGCAGCATTTGTTTCTGTAGAATCAATAGACAATGATAAAAACATAACTTTTTGTAACTGTTTAAGTAGATCATAGCTCAGAAGTGCAGGTGACCATGATGTTGACAGAGATTGTAAGCTCCGTGGACTTCATCCCGTTGATCGAAAAATCACAAATACAAATGATAGATCGAATCAAAGTTACACCCTTTAACCACATTCTGTAATCACAATGTGAATGTTATGGATCTGTAAAATGTCCTTTCATTTTTTACATTGGAATTCATTATTGCAGAAGGCGGAACAGTAAGATACACTCCCATTTAATTTTTTCTGTTTTATCCAAAAAGGTCCATGTCAGAGCAACCAAGATATGGATCTGTAATTGACATTGACCATAAAGTCATGTTTTTATTTACATGCTGTGTTCGATTTTTGGTATTTGACTCCTGACTAATTTAACAGAACATCATGTAATAAAATGCAAAAAACACAAGAAAACTAAGCATGTTTAACACCGCCTGTACTTACACAGTAACAAAAATATAAACCTTTGAAAATCAATTCAGTAAGGAAGCTTTTAAGTACCCAAAACAAAAACCTTTGGATTTTTTATTTGAGCAAAACGGTGTGGTCAACATAATGCACAAAGTGTGCCAAATAAGGCCCACATTGCCAAGTTTATTAAAAGTGGCCACTGCATCAAAACAATATAACCTCGAGGTTCTGGAAACTTTTGGCAAATTTGTCAACAAAAAAAATGACCACAGGTCTGAATATGTGACCTAACAATGAAGTATGACTTTGTTATGGTTTTTATGATTTCAATATTTAGGCAATATATCGATATTCCTTCAAATCAAATCAAATTTAATTAAAAAGCACAATTCATACAGATTAGCCCAAAATGCTTCACAAGCAATTAAAGGAACCGGACTAAAATACGTAAAAACGGTGTATAGCACATATAAAACAAATAGTAATTAAAAAAGATAAAGTTAAAGAATTTAAAAAATGCTTCAAATTAGTCATAATGCATACCTGAATAAGACTGATTTCAGCCTGGACATAACATTTCCATGGACGAGGCCTGTCCTCACAAGCTCAGGGAGACTGTTCAAAATTCTGCTCGCATGAATTGACACGGTGCCTCCCCATAATTATTCCTGACCCTGGTAACAGCAGGAGGCCAGTCCCTGTGCTCCTCAGAGTCAGAGCTGGTTTGAATGGCGCTAACATACTCGGATATACTGTGGTGCGAGGCCATGGAGAGTATATAACCACACACACACACACACGATGAAAAGCCTGCACCATTTTCTGTACACATTGGGCTAACATTGACATAAAAAATACATAATGAAACAATTTGGTTGTATCACACGGGGAGAAAGAGTTATAACCACACACACACACACACACACACACACACGCTCTTGTTTCACGCATCCATCCCAACCTGTTCAAGCTGCAATAAACCTTTCATTCTACTACTCTGGATCTGCTGCAGTCTTTCTTGCCGAAGACTTAGGCCGGACTTTTGGATCCCAGCATTCAAATACAATAAAATCTATTACACTTGTGTCTGTTGTTCCCTATGTTTTCTGCCCTGTGTAGTACTGTTCCTTTAAGATCATGTCACATGACCATGAGGTATAAGAGCAGCTTGGCAGCATGGATCCATTATAATAACTGGTTAGGGTATTACTAGCTTGGAGCTGAAGAACCCACGTGCTCGGGGGATTCTCGCGGTACTGCAGACTAGACCAGACTAAATTCACGCGGGCTACCCAGAAATTTTCCCTATAGAATTCAATGTAAATTAAAACAGCGCGACCTCAGCTGACAGAGAACCTACAGCTTAAATAAAGGTCGGATTTTGTGGTGATTTTAGTGTCCCTTGTCATCCTGAACTTTTTTTTTTCTTAAATCCTTTGGTTTTCTTTAAATCCACCCTTTAGTGCCACAAACTCTGCTCGTCTGGCTCTCGCTCTAACTCCCGCTCTGATGAACTGCTCTGATTGGTCAGAGCGCGGCCGAGCCCCTCTGTGCACGTGCGTGAGACCCGGCGCAACGCATTATGGGAGATCATCCACTGCGCAGAACCGGGAGGACCAGACGATGCCCAAATACAGGCGAGTTTCCCATAGATCTTTGCGAGTTTCCCATAGATCTTTGCGAGTTCCAGGCGGCTTCCGCTAATCTTTCAGCCCCCATGCCGTCACAAAGCGCCACTGAGCACAACCATTCATTTGAATAGGGCGCCATCTTGGATCGCCGGGGCTTGCTTGGCAGCCACTCTTTCAATGCAACTGTCATCCGGCATGTGGGAGAGGACATGTTTTGTTTTATAGTTTGCAGTGGTGTTTTTATATGCATGAGTGTTTTCGCATTTTAGTCCTGCTCCAGCTGGAGACATGCCGCAGAGCCCCATGGACGCTGTTGCCCAATCCTGTGCACCACACAATTAGAGCACCTGCGCTTGATGAGAGAGCAGAGAATAAAAGGGCAGATGAGACAGACAGAGGGAGGCAACGGAAAGGGGACGATAAACGAGAGCCACGGAGGACAAGCGAGCGGGGCGCCTGAGGACAACGCGTTCGAGACCACGGCTCTACAAGACCGGACCGAGCAGTGACCCAGCCTGCACCAGCGAGCCCCATCCACGCAGCGGCAGAGCGAGAAAGCTCTGCCTTGTCTGTGAGTAACGTTCTGTGGATTAGCTGGTGCAACCAGGAGAGCCTCAGGCCCCAGCAGCTGGCGAAGCTTGTTTGTGTACTGTGTACTGGCTCTGCTCTTGTGATAGGGAGCGTGGTGGAGAGGGGACCGGCGGTCCGAGGAGGCACCTGACCCGGGGAAGAGCACCGTGACGTTGACTACACGCAGCGGCAGGGTGAATCCCTGCCGTGCCTGTAAGTACCTCTAGTCGTTGTAGCGGTGCTATAAGATCATTTTGTGGGGTCTCTTGCTTGTGTGTTCGGCTGTGTGGTGCTGCCGTTTCGTCCTTGTGCCCAGGGGCAGAGCTGGACCGCAAGCAGGAGACGGTGCCTGACTCTCGAGGGACGCAGCGGCAGGGTGGATCCCTGCCGTGTGTGTAAGTGCCCGCCCGTTGTCCCTCGTTAAATCAAAACGTGGAGGATTGTTCCTGCCAGCCCTTTGTTTTTGTGCACAGGTCTCCCTGAAGAGGGCCCCCCTGCGCTCGGGACCTTTTTATCACATTTTAAAGACTTTTTAACCCTGTCTTAATTTATTGTAATAAATTATTTTGTTTTTAACAGTTTGCTCTGTCCTCTTTTGGTCACACCACTGCTCTGCCATAACTGTTTTAATTTGGTCCACTACTCAATCATTTCCTTTCCCTCCAATAATTAAAACCCCCCCGCATTACACAACATATGCCCTGAAGAAGGCCTAAGATAGCACTAAACCACAGATTTAAGCCCAAAATGGTGGTGTGACACAAGTGGCTACTGAGCTAGAGGAGTTTACTTCTAAATGTAAGTCAATAGGAGCCAGAGCAACAATCTCTGTGGCAGCTCTCTCTCTCTCTCTCTCTCTCTCTGTGGCAGTTACCTCGCTCTCTGGAGCAGTTACCTCTCCATCTGGGGTAGTTACCTCATTGTCGGGCAGTCCAAACAGAAACTCTCGGTCGAAGCGCCCAGGCCGCCTGAGCGCTGGGTCAATGGAGTCCAGACGGTTTGTGGATCCAATGACCACCACCTCCCCCCTGCTGTTCAGGCCGTCCATCAGAGCCAGCAGGGTGGACACGATGGAGCTGTAGGGTTAGGGTTAGGGTTAGGGTTCTCTGACAGCAGGGGTCAGGGGGAGAGCAGGGGTCATGGGGGAGTGCAGGGGTCAGGAGGGAAAGCAGGGATCAGGGAGAGCACCCTAATGCCAGAGAAAGTGTCTGCAGAAGTGAAAGATGGAGATTCGGGATTTGAAACCTGTGGATCTGGTCCTGTCGGCTGGAGCGCACTGGAGCCAAGCCGTCTAGCTCATCAAAGAAGATGATGGATGGACGCATCTCATAGGCCTGAGCAGGAAGCAGATATAAAAGATGTTTTATCTGGACAAAATTGAAGGAAGCAGATTGAAGTTCTGCAGTGTTTTGCTAGTCACCTTTTTAAAGAGCAGCCTCAGCTGTCTCTCGGACTCCCCCACCCACTTGCTGAGGACGTCTCCTCCTTTCCTCATGAAGAAGGACACTCTCTCCGCTCCCTGACTGCACTCACGGGCCAGAGCTCGGGCTACAAGGGTCTTCCCTGTGCCGGGGGGGCCATGGAAGAGACAGCCCCTGAACGAAAGGGGGAGGCGGTTATAGTTCTGACGAAACACATAGATCCTGAAATAGACCATAAATGTGTACACAGACCAAATAGATCCGTAATAGACCATAAGTGTGTGCACAGACCACATGGACTTAATAGACCCTAATTGCGTGCACAGACCTAGGGGGCTCGATGTTTAATCTTTGAAAGACCTCTGGATACATCAGCGGGAAAACCACCATCTCTTTCAGAGCAGCGATCTGAGAAGACAAACCCCCGATGTTCTGGAAGCCAACCTGAGGAGGCAAAAGAGACCATTCAGAAAGACCACCATGAGAGCTGACAGAAGACCACCTGAGGAGACAAGAGACAACCCTCTCACGCTGTTCCATCCATTTCACATACAGTGCCTTGCGAAAGTATTCGGCCCCCTTCAACCTTTCAACATTTCGCCACAATTCAGGCTTCAAACATAAAGATATGAAAATTAATTTTTTTGTCATGAATCAACAACAAGTGGGACACAATCGTGAAGTGGAACGAAATTGATTGGATAATTTAAACTTTTTTAACAAATAAAAAACTGAAAAGTGGGGCGTGCAATATTATTCGGCCCCTTTACTTTCAGTGCAGCAAACTCACTCCAGAAGTTCAGTGAGGATCTTTGAATGATCCATTGTTGTCCTAAATGACTGATGATGATAAATAGAATGCACCTGTGTGTAATCAAGTCTCCGTATAAATGCACCTGCTCTTTGATAGTCTCAGGGTTCTGTTTAAAGCGCAGAGAGAACCATGAAGACAAAGGAACACACCAGGCAGGTCCAAGATACTGTTGTGGAGAAGTTTAAAGCCGGATTTGGATACAAAAAGATTTCCCAAGCTTTAAACATCTCAAGGAGCACTGTGCAAGCAATTATATTGAAATGGAAGGAGTATCAGACCACTGCAAATCTACCAAGACCCGGCCGTCCCTCCAAACTTTCATCTCAAACAAGGAGAAGACTGATCAGAGATGCAGCCAAGAGGCCCATGATCACTCTGGATGAACTGCAGATAACTACAGCTGAGGTGGGAGAGTCTGTCCATAGGACAACAATCAGTCGTGCACTGCACAAATCTGGCCTTTATGGAAGAGTGGCAAGAAGAAAGCCATTTCTCAAAGATATCCATAAAAAGTCTCTTTTAAAGTTTGCCACAAGCCACCTGGGAGACACACCAAACATGTGGAAGAAGGTGCTCTGGTCAGATGAAACCAAAATCGAAATTTTTGGCCACAATGCAAAACGATATGTTTGGCGTAAAAGCAACACAGCTCATCACCCTGAACACACCATCCCCACCTCAGCTGTAGTTATCTGCAGTTCATCCAGAGCGATCATGGGCCTCTTGGCTGCATCTCTGATCAGTCTTCTCCTTGTTTGAGATGAAAGTTTGGAGGGACGGCCGGGTCTTGGTAGATTTGCAGTGGTCTGATACTCCTTCCATTTCAATATAATTGCTTGCACAGTGCTCCTTGAGATGTTTAAAGCTTGGGAAATCTTTTTATATCCAAATCCGGCTTTAAACTTCTCCACAACAGTATCTCGGACCTGCCTGGTGTGTTCCTTTGTCTTCATGGTTCTCTCTGCGCTTTAAACAGAACCCTGAGACTATCAAAGAGCAGGTGCATTTATACGGAGACTTGATTACAAACAGGTGCATTCTATTTATCATCATCAGTCATTTAGGACAACATTGGATCATTCAAAGATCCTCACTGAACTTCTGGAGTGAGTTTGCTGCACTGAAAGTAAAGGGGCCGAATAATATTGCACGCCCGACTTTTCAGTTTTTTATTTGTTAAAAAAGTTTAAATTATCCAATAAATTTCGTTCCACTTCATGATTGTGTCCCACTTGTTGTTGATTCATGACAAAAAATTAAAATTTTATATCTTTATGTTTGAAGCCTGAAATGTGGCGAAATGTTGAAAGGTTCAAGGGGGTATATTGCAGATATGAAAAATGTGAAATGGTTAAATCAAGTTCAGGATAATGAGTTCTACTTGTGTTCCACATTTTCTGGGTTTAAACACTGTACAATACTGCTTCTGCGTTTGCTGGACTCACGTTTGGGTCAACGGTCACAGGATCGATGTCGGCCAGGCTTCCTTCAGACATCAGTTTGTCTCTATGAGAGCTGAGGTTCACAGGGCGACACCTGCAAGCCACGCAGGGTCATATACATTGGACACACACATGCACGCAACACACACACATGTTCACATGCACACACACGCTCATCACCTGTTCACCAAGGCACGCGTACACACACGCTCTCACACACACAAACATACCAACACATTCCACGCAGACACACACACAAATTCTCTGAGATGTGGCTACTGTACGTGGCAATGTACCAGACGCTGTGGTCTCTCTAGAGGGTTTTTAACTTGTGCACGCAGACCAGAGTGTGGCCGGGAGCAGAAAGAAGAAGGACGGTGGAGGAGGCTTGGTGTGTAACGTGGCTCACGTCTACGTGACTGATCAGATCTGCACCTGGGATCTGGAGATGATCGCTCAAAGTATGATCCCAGATATTTGTTGCAGGAGATCTTGAACACTGTGGTTTTATGCGTGTACATCCCAGACCCATACCCCGTAAAGCCTAGTGTATAGTCGTGCGGAGCTTACGGCGGTAACGTGACGTCACTTGACCAACGCAAGGATCACTGCAAGACCCATGCGTAGCCACCCTTGCTCCCTCAAAAATGTCTAACTACGCAGCCGGCGCCGCAGAGAAGCTCCACTGTTATTGGTCTGTGTGTGTGTGTGGGTTGAAGTATTTTTTTCAAATCTATGATAGTGATTTCAGTTTTTGAGTTATAACCTTTTAAAGTTCAGATACTTTAATTGACACTTCACTGTGAACACACCCATCTTATCTTACGTGCACTCAATCAAACACACACACACTCAACAAACGCGCATGGGCACGCACACACACACACACACACAAACACACCTGGCCATGGCGCTGTGCAGGTCAGACTCCACAGACTCGTCGTCAGAGGTTTTGTTTATCCAGGGAGACGGAGGAGGTCTGGAACAGAGAACACACAGAAACATAACTGTCTGCAGAGGGGCGGGGCTAATGATATCTGGGCAGAGTTTAAGGGATATCAGGGGTCGGGTTAAGGGTGACACGGTGGATAGCAATAGCACTCTCACTTCCCAGCAAGAAGGTCCTGGGTTTGATTCCCAGTCGGAATAGGGCCTTTCTGAGTGGAGTTTACATGTTCTCCCCGTGTTCCCCTCCCACTAAAAACATGTACAATGGGTTACAAGGTATGAATGTAATGAGTGATTGAATGGCCGATGTTGGTTAGAGGCTTTGATGCGCCAGTGTGTTCGCTTCCCTCATCATAGTATGTGGAGAGAATAGAAAAACATCTGATTTCTGAACATCGTAAAGTGCTTTGGGCAACCTCGGTCTATAAAATGCGCTAAATAAATATACATTACTTACTTACTTACTTATTTCTTGCAACTTATTTCTTCTATACCACTGTTTTAGCTTGATCTAAACATTTCATATGAACTATTTATTTAATAAAGAGTACAGTGGTCTCTGGTTTATCACAGGTTACGTTCTAAAAATACCCTACTGTTTTAAGGCTTTAAAACCCCTCACTCACACTTTTCTCACCACTTGAACTCGTGACTGCTGAAGGCCGATCACAGATTAAATCTGTTTGCTGTTGGTTTTAGCACTATACGGCGGCTGTCAAAACTTGCGTGTACACTGTAAAATACAGCAGTGAGGGACCACTGCATATCGTGTTATAGAGGAAAAACAGGTTATGCCCGCTTTACGATCAAAGTGAGCTGGATCTCTGCAGATTTTTCACAGATCTTTGCTGTGCCAGTTCTAAAATAAAGAAAAAGTGTGTGAGAATGTGTGACCTGAAGTGAGACGCGTTTGGACCCGAGGCGCAGATCCGGAACGTCCCTCTGAACACATCTGAGGACACAAAATAGAAACCACAGCAGGTCAAACAGAGAGAGACATTGTCCTCTGAGATAATTACTAGGAGACACTGTCCTGTGAGACACTGTCCTGTGAGACACTGTCCTCTGAGACACTGTCCTATGAGAGACTGTCCTCTGAGACACTGTCCTATGAGAGACTGTCCTCTGAGACACTGTCCTCTGAGAGACTGTCCTCTGAGATAATTACTAGGAGACACTGTCCTGTGAGACACTGTCCTGTGAGACACTGTCCTCTGAGACACTGTCCCCTGAGACACTGTCCTCTGAGACACTGTCCTCTGAGACACTGTCCTCTGAGAGACTGTCCTCTGAGACACTGTCCTGTGAGACCCTGTCCTCTGAGACACTGTCCTCTGAGAGACATTCCTCTGAGAGACTGTCCTCAAGTGCTTGTGTCGTGCTTTGGAGACTGATGGGCCCATGATGACCCATGATGGTGGAGTAACACACATCTCTCACCGTTGGCGTTGTAAACGGAAGAGGCGTGGCTTGTCTTGGCGTCCATGCTCTGGTCACAGTCACTGGTTTGATCCTCTTCAGGCTCTTCCTCATGTAGCTTCGCCCCCTCACCTGAGGAACGCAGGACAGTGAGAGAAAGAACATACACACACACATACAAATTCAAGTAATAGGAGGGCTGGGACTTAGGCTAGATAAGCATATTCAAATGTCATTGTTTTGTTAATATTAAAATTCAAATATATTTGAATATATATTTTGACAAATAAATGCTTGTAGTCTCCTTTTTCCAATGGCCACACGTGCTGCAACCAATCAGAGAGCTGCAATGTGGTGACGGTGACACATATCGGTCTGAGCAAGTGCGCAAAAACAGCCAAAACAGGAATTAACAAGACTAAACCAGGATTGGGGGATGACGTGGGCAGTCCCTCCTGTGGGCCCACCACCTGCAGAGGGGTCCGTGGTGGCGCGGTGCTGAGAGGACTGAGCGGCAGTGGAAGGCGGAGACCTCGGCGACCCAGTCCGCACACACAACATCTGGCTCTTGGGACGTGGAACGTCACCTCACTGGGGGGGAAGGAGCCCGAGCTCATGGGGGAGGTTGAGCAATACCGACTAGAGATAGTCGGCCTCACCTCCACACACAGCTTGGGCTCTGGAACCCAACTCCTTGAGAGGGGTTGGACGCTCCACTTTTCTGGAGTTTCCCGCGGGGAGAGGCGGCGAGCTGGCGTGGCCATTCTCATTGCCCCCCATCTCAGCCGCCACGTGTTGGAGTTCTCCCCGGTGAATGAGAGGGTCGCGTCCCTCCGCCTCCGGGTGGGGGACAAGTCTCTCATTGTTGTGACGGCCTACGGGCCTAACAGCAGTGCAGAGTACCCGGCCTTCTTGGAGTCCTTGGGAGGGGTACTGGACGGTGCACCGCCTGGGGACTCCGTTATTCTCCTGGGGGACTTCAACGCCCATGTGGGAAACGCCAGTGACACTTGGAGAGGGGTGATCGGGAAGAACGGCCCCCCTGATCTGAACCCGAGCGGTGTTCAGTTGTTGGACTTCTGTGCCAGTCACAGTTTGTCCATCACGAACACCATGTTCGAGCACAAGGGTGTTCACCAGTGCACGTGGCACCAGGACACCCTAGGCCGGAGGTCGATGATCGACTTTGTTGTCGTATCATCTGACCTTCGACCGCGTGTCTCGGACACTCGGGTAAAGAGAGGGGCGGAGCTGTCAACCGATCATCACCTGGTCGTGAGTTGGATCCGCTGGCCGGGGAAGAAGCCGGTCAGACCTGGCAGACCCAACCCGGGACTGGGAGGAGTTCGGAGAGTCCATGGAGCATGACTATCGGTCGGCCTCGAAGAGATTCTGGCAAACCATCCGGCGCCTCAGGAGGGGGAAGCAGTTCTTTGCCAACACCATGTACGGTGCGGGTGGAGAGCTGCTGACCTCGACTGGGGATATTGTCGGGCGGTGGAAGGAATACTTTGAGGTTCTCCTCAATCCCCCCGTCACGTCCTCTGTTACAGAGGCAGAGGCTGAGGATGTTGGGGCGGATACATCCATCTCCCTGGCTGAGGTCACCAAGGTGGTTGGCAGCCTCCATGGTGGCAAGGCTCCGGGTGTGGATGAGATCCGCCCTGATTATCTAAAGTCTCTGGATGTTGTAGGACTGTCTTGGCTGACACGTCTCTGCAACATCGCGTGGCGATCGGGGGCGGTGCCAATGGAGTGGCAGACCGGGGTGGTGGTCCCTCTCTACAAGAAGGGGGACCGGAGGGTGTGTTCCAATTATCGTGGGATCACACTCCTCAGCCTCCCCGGTAAGGTCTACTCCAAAGTACTGGAGAGGAGGCTACGGCCGATGGTCGAATCTCGGATCCAGGAGGAGCAGTGTGGTTTTCGTCCCGGTCGCGGAACACTGGACCAGCTCTATACTCTCCATCGGATACTCGAGGGTTCATGGGAGTTCGCCCAACCTGTCCACATGTGCTTTGTGGATTTGGAGAAGGCGTTCGACTGTGTTCCCCGGGGTGTCCTTTGGGGGGTTCTCCGGGAGTACGGGGTCGGAGGTCCTCTGCTGAGGGCCATCCGATCCCTGTATGACCGGAGCCAGAGCTGTGTTCGCATTGCCGGCAGTAAGTCAGACCTGTTCCCGGTGAATGTTGGCCTCCGACAGGGCTGCCCTTTGTCACCGGTTCTGTTCACTGTATTTATGGGCAGAATTTCTAGGCGCAGCCAGGGGTCGGAGGGGGTCCGGTTCGGAGACCACAGGATTTCATCTCTGCTGTTTGCGGACGATGTTGTCCTGTTGGCTCCAACGAACCAGGACCTGCAGCATGCACTGGGGCGGTTTGCAGCCGAGTGTGAAGCGGCTGGGATGAGAATCAGCACCTCCAAATCCGAGGCCATGGTGCTCGACCGGAGAAAGGTGCCTTGCCCTCTACAGGTGGGTGGAGAGGTCCTTCCTCAAGCGGAGGAGTTTAAGTATCTCGGGGTCTTGTTCACGAGTGAGGGAAGAATGGAGCGTGAGATTGACAGGCGGATCGGTGCAGCGTGCGCAGTGATGCGGTCGCTGTATCGGACCGTTGTGGTAAAGAGGGAGCTGAGCCGAAAGGCAAAGCTCTCGATTTACCGGTCAATCTTCGTTCACTCCCTCACCTATGGTCATGAGCTTTGGGTAATGACCGAAAGAACGAGATCGCGGATACAAGCGGTCGAAATGAGCTTCCTCCGCAGAGTGGCTGGGCGCTCCCTTAGAGATAGGGTGAGGAGCTCAGTCACACGGGAGGAGCTCGGAGTAGAGCCGCTGCTTCTCCACGTCGAGAGGAACCAGTTGAGGTGGCTCGGGCATCTGTTCCGGATGCCTCCTGGACGCCTCCCTGGGGAGGTGTTCCGGGCACGTCCCACCGGGAGGAGGCCTCGCGGAAGACCTAGGACACACTGGAGGGACTATGTCTCTCAGCTGGCCTGGGAACGCCTTGGGGTCCCCCCGGACGAGCTGGAGGAGGTGTGTGTGGATAGGGAAGTCTGGGCGTCTCTGCTTAGACTGCTGCCCCCGCGACCCGGCAACGGATAAAGCGGAAGAAAATGGATGGATGGATGGATAAACCAGGATTGAACCAGGACTGACAACGGGAGACACAGTGCTTGTGAACTGAGTGCTGAGTTCTCGTTCTACTGTGAGTGTAAACAAGTGCTGCAAACATGTTCAGCGATGCAGAAGTACTGGTTAATAATCCTAAAAAAAAACATGGCGCAGCGGAGGCAGCTCCGTGAACACTTACTGCTGTTATATAAAGGTCTCAGGACACAGAGACGCTGCCGGGCTGCATTTGTGGAGAAGAATTTTACACTAAAAGGTTGCTAGCTTAAGCCCGTTAGCATAAAAGCCCATGCCAGTATATATTTTGAATATCATAGGATGTCTTATATTCATTCAGATATCATTATTTGCTTAATATTCAAATTATATTTTAATCAATTTTAATTTCCCCAGCCCTAACATGTACACACACAGAACCTCAAATCACACACAAAAACAAACGCTCACACAAACAAACAAACACACACACACACACACACACACTCACACTAATAGATAATGAGAGGACAGCACCATTATTGTGCAGCTGTGGCATCAGGCCTCTCTGGGCTTCGGAGTAGATCTTCTGCACACAAGAAAATCCATTTAAATTTTTATCAATACACACACATAAACAAACACACACTGACACTTCCAGGATGACAGCAACCAAAAATGGCAATTGGTTGCCTACAAGTCACCTCCCTGCATGAGCCGCCTCATCCTGCAATGTGTTGCCTCAGTCCTCGTTCTACAGTCTGAGTCCTGGATCTACAGCTTGTCCGTCCATAGGAGTAGATACCTCCCTAAATGTGGACTCCCTGAGGTTTCTCAATTTTTCCCATTGGTTTTTTTTAGTTGTTCTTTGTCGATGCAGGAGGGTCTAAGACAACGGTGATGATCCAGCACGATTAAGGAGATTTATGCACATTCAACAACATTTATAGACATTGGTCATCTGCCCTTATGGACCAAAGAGTTTTTATCATTGCATTTCCTGTGTTTGGACAGCTTGATTGATTGATTGATTGGCGAATCGACAACTTTGTGAAGTACTACTGCCTCTGCGAGAACTGCTGTTGTGATGATGGGCTATACAAAAATAAATTGAATTTAATCAATACTACTGCTACTCTTGCTGCTGCAGCTGCTGTTGCTAATGCTGCTACTACTACTACTGCTGATGCTACTACTGCTCCTACTACAGCCACTACTACTGCTGCTGCTGCTGCTGCTTCTGCGGCTGCATGTGTGAGCAGCTGATAGAGGCCACAGTGAAACGCCCTGAGGCTGATAAGGACTTAAGCTCAAACCCACCACCTCCTGAAGATCAGTGACACAGGTAGAACACGCAAACACAGACACAGAGAGAATATGCAGACTCAGACACAGGCAGAACATGCCGACACTGACACAGGGAGAACGTGCAGACACAGGCAGAACATGCAAATACACAGGCATAACATACAAATGTAAACAATGAGTCAAAAGTCAAATTACGGCTAATTTACGGTTCCCGTCCCAACTAATTTTTTCAGTCTGCAAGATTATTCATGTCCTCAATGGTATCGTCACACATAACATACTGCTTAACAACATGGTCACAGGCAAAACATCACTTCAACCAATAGAATCCTTATATAACACTAATCGAGTTGTTAAGAAAGCTCTTCAGCGTCTCTGCTTTCTATCGCTGCACCATTGAAAGTTTACTTGTTGGTTCTGTGACTGTGTGGTTTGGAAACATCACAGACAAAGAATGGAGAGTTCTAAACAAGGTGCTCCGCTCTGCAAAGAGGACTGTGAGCTGTGAGCTTCCTGTTCTGGAGGTTCTTTGTAAATCCAGACTTTTAAACTTATAATAATCAATGACTCTTTTGGCCACCCTAGAAAAGCCATGTTCCAGCTTCTTCCCTCTGGCACAAGATATCATTCCCTGAGATGCAGGACATCTCGATATGCTAACAGCTTCTTTCTACAAGCAGTTATCAGTTTAAACAGAGCACTTAAATGATCTTGCACTGGTATTGAAAATATTTTTGTTTTGGTCGATTGATTTCACAGTGTGAATTGTTTGTTTTATTTCTGTACTTTTAACCTTGTTTTAATTATCCACTTGTCTAGTGCACACAGGGGACTTTTGCAAATGTATTCCAATGTGGTTTTACTGCAAACAGCAAATAAATGAATCTGAATCTGAAGCAAACACTAAAAATACTGGACAAAAATCACAAAGATTTCACCACTTTCCATTTTGCGAAAACCCTACCTTCTTAAAGGTAGGTTAAAATTTAATCAAATACTCAAATCTCTGTCTCATCTACAAGGTCACTCATGGTTCATCTTCACCTCCACTAAACCAATTTATTACATCAGAGAGCTGGCCCCGTATGTTCTTATCACAACCTATCTCTGGTTCATAACAAATGACATGTACTTTTCTTGTTTCATCATCTCTGCTTTTTGGTTGACATTTTTATCCAGGCCAGGGATAACAGATGAAAAATAGCCTTGTGGCTAATTCTGATACATTTTACAGTAAGGTTCAAGAATGTACACTGTCCCTGTAAAAAGACACAGACACAAGGAGAACATGCAAACTTGTGAGTAATGCACTCACCCCCTCCTCTCTGATGCTTGACAACACTCTCTTGTTCTTCATCTGGAGGAGCGGACGCATGTGGCTGCACACAGGTCAAAGGTCACACACAGGTCACATTGTTGCCTGTTGTGAGCACAGTGCGGTTGTTGACATGTCATATGAGTGTTTTGTGTGTGAGTGACACATCATATGAGTGTTCATGTCAGAGGGGAGTGCATGAGAACCACTGTAGTAACTGTAAAGTCCCATTTCCAACGCAGCATTTATTGTACATCTTGCTGTTGTTGTTGGCTGTTTCCAGCGGTGTCTGCTAGGCTAACGGTGCAGAATTAAAAATGCTGGTTGTTTTGGTGCTTTCTGATTGAGTCAGAGCCTGCTTTTGTTTCAGCCAATCAGCGCCGGGTTAAAACCTAGCCCCACTAGGGCTTTTCAGTACCTAGCATGGCCAAGCCCCCCTGTGCATGAGCTGTGTGGGTGTGGGTGTGTGTGTGTGTGTGTGTGTCTCTGACTTGGGTCTGTTCCGGTCGAATATGTTGGACGTGTGGTTTCTGCCAATCCTGGAGCTCCTCCTCAGACCTTTCACTTCCTCGCACACATGCACACACACACGCACATTTGCACACACGCAAAACAAAGGGTAAGCCACAGACTACACATGTTTAACACAAGTATAGAGTATAAAGACTGACTCACATTTGGCGTCCAGTAGCCGCGCAGACTTCCTGAAACACACGTTTACACATGTTACATGGCACGTCCTTACCAATCAGGTGCTGCTGATCAGAGTGGAGCTAGAGCGGGAGACAATCGAGCAGAGTTTGGGATTTTCAGGACGACAAGGGACACTAAAATCTCCACAAAATCCTTCAGCTATCATCCTGAACTTTTTTTTTCTTAAATCCTAAAGTAAAAAAAAAAATCTACACTTTAAGGCAACAAACTCTTTTTTTCCCGCTATAACTCTGTTCTGATCAGCAGCTGTGATTGGTCATATAATATTGCGGCCGAGGCCCTTAGTCGCCCAAATATGGGCGAGTTCCACTAATCTCTGACCCATGCGCTACCGAGAACAAGTCATTCATTTGAATAGGGCGCCATCTTGGATCACCGGGGCTTGGCTTTAGGTGGTTTATATATGACAATGTGTAGTGGTTCATCTTAGTAGATTATGTTAATTGGCTCTTCTACACCAGATAACTGTAAACAAAAAAAGTTGTGTGTCGTATCTGTGCTCTCTCGCCACTCAGCGCACAACCGTGCAGTGGGCGAGCGTGAGCTGCTGCAACAGGCCCACAAATGAAACAAACCCTCGCTGCCTGTCCATTCCATGGGGGCACGTCATGTCACTGCACTACAGTATGTTGTATGTTTCAGGTTTCCGTTCTAAATGGACTCAATAATAATATCAATAATGCATTGGTTTTGGCCTTTCACTCAAAGACGCTTCACATGTCATTATCCTTGACTGTAAATAGTAGTAATCTTTATTTATATACCGCCTTTTCACTGCAGATCTGAGTCTCAAAGCGGTTTATAATTGTTAATTTTTGGGCATTAGTCTCTCACACAGAGATGGGAGCGGGGTCGCCAGTACACCCAGGACCTTCTTGCTGAGAGGCGAGAGTGCTATCCACTCAGCCACCGTGCCACCCACGGATGTACAGGTAGTGGGTGGCACGATGTCACGCCTATCTCTGGCAACTAATGTGCCACCACTTTCGTCATTTATTTGCATTTTCAAAAATGGTCGCGGGGGCAGGAAAATGTGACACAAGCCCCATTCATTTGACGAGTGCCTTCAAAATTCCACAGCGACTAAACTAGAGTGGTCCAAAAGAATAAACTCCCTCAGTATTGACACACATTTGGTTGGGCCAAGAGCCGACTTTTGGACCTTTCTGTAAAGCCTTGCACAGTTTTTCCAATGTGGTTTTACTGCAAATGGCAATTAAATGAGTCTGAATCTGAATCTGAAGCCGGTTTTGAGAGGCAAGGAGATGCTATACATAAGCATTGGCTAATTCATATTCCGGGGTCCATTGCAAGCATGTCAGAGCACGACATTTTGACCACTTTTGAGCTGGGACCTGCCCCCACTGGTCATTTATTTATTCACTCCATAAACAATGGTTATAAACTACTACTGAAGTGTCTTGCCTAAGGACACAACAACAGTTTGGCACTTCACAGACGGAGCCACCCCACTGGCACCTGGTATCCCACAAGTCTCGCATCACAGTATTAACCAGGCCCTGCCCTGCACATTTTCAGATGTCTGGCGGGATCTGGCTTTCGTATTTGTTCGAACATGATTTTGTGGCTTTAAAAGAAATAGGTGCAACGCTAAATGACCCCTGTAGGGGGCGCTGTTGTTCCATTTTTATAAAACCATTAGGGGTGAGAACCTAAGGGTACCTCACAATACGATACGATACAAAGTTCACGATAACGATATTATCACGATAACAATATTATCACGATAACAATATTATCACGATAACGATATCACGATAACGATTATTGAAATATTGGTCAGAAATATACAATATGCCAATTTATGGCATAACTAAAAGAAAAAATACACTTTATTTAATGATAAATGAAATGGAGATGCGGAATGTAGCCATATATTAAGTATCGATACCAATTTTTTTTTTTTATGTAAAAAAATAAATAAAACGTAAAATAGACATTTTTTTTTTTCAAAATCGATATCGATACTTGGCAAATGCATATTGATAATCGAATCGCGGGAGAAAGTATAAATATATCGAAATATATCGAAAATATATATCGAAAAATCAATATATCGTCACACCCCTAAAAATCAATATATCGTCACACCCCTAAAAACCATACAGAAAGCTATATGATTGTGTCCAATTTTAAGGTCAAAAGCAGAAAAAACGAACCCAGCCCAAGAAAAGTGCAAAAAGGTAAAAACGGAGACGACTAACACAAATGAAAAAATGACCAGCCATTGCATGCCGCTGTAAAGATGGCGCCGTGGCAAGAGCTCTGGTGTGTGCCGTCCTCTCTGTCTGGTGCACACTGGGGCAGTCTTGCCCAGTTTTTCCAATGTGGTATTACTGCAAATGGCAAATAAATGAATCTGAATCTGAATCTGATAGCAATATTAACGAACGTAGTCATGCCTATCTCCGCTGTTGAAACTAATACATGCATCAAGAGTTCCGCGCTTCCGGCTCGACCGAACTGCATTGTGGGTAGTTTTCTCAAAAAGGTGGGCATCAAATCACTCTGCCGTATAGGATTACTTGTTGCGAACGTGATCTCTCTCTCTTGTTTCCAGCCCATAGATTGTTTTAATAGCTAAAAATTTCACCAAATTCAGACATTTTGAAGGTAAGGTTAAAAAAAATTAATTTAACAAAAAAGCAATGCATTTTTTTTCTTGTGGTTTTAGACGTAAACACAACCGCCTGACTATAGAGCTACGTGTAGCTTATGCTACTTACGAGGATCGAATGCTTACACGCGAACTTTATAAACTTGCCCAAAGCTGTACTTTGGACATATTTGTCTGGTGTGGAGCTTCTGAATGTAGAGAAGGATAAATACCTGGGGCACGTAATCAGGAGTGACCTCAGTGATGACGATGACAGTCAGAGGCAGTACTGTAAGCTGTATGGACAGGCCACTTAAGCACGGAGATTTCACATGTGTACAGATAAAGTGAAAATAACTTTGTTTAAAGCCTACTGCACACCTCTCTAACCCAACTCTGAATGCTCTGATCAGAAATGTTATTTATCCTCGTAAGTAGCATAAGCTACATGTAGCTCTATTGTCAGGCGGTTCTGTTTACATCTAAAACCACAAGAAAAAAATGCATTGCTTTTTTGTTAAATGAACAAATCTTTACCTTATCTTGAAAATGTCTGAAATTGGTGAATTTATTAGCTATTAAAACAATCTATGGGCTGGAAACAAGAGAGAGAGATCACGTTCGCAACAAGTAATCCTATACGGCAGTGATTTGATTCCCACCTTTTTGAGAAAACTACCCACAATGCCGTGCGGTCGAGCCGGAAGCTCGGACCTCTTGATGCCTATGCTTGATGCATGTATGTGCCTTTACTTTTGCCATATATGGGGCTTTTTCAAAATGGCCGCTGGCAGGAAAATGTGACACAACGTATTTGTGAATGCATTAGCCGGCACCATCCTCACTCAATTTAATGAGTGCCTGCCAAAGTCCACAGAGGATGGTGGTCCAAAAAATATACCCTCAGCATTGACACATATCTGGAAAGTAGCTTTGGACCAAGAGCCTGCATCCTGTAAAGCCGTTTTTGAGTGAAGGGAAGACGCCATACAAAAGCATTGAATAATTCTCTTTCTGGGTCCACCCCCACCGGCCCAGGAGTGGTGTTGAAAGTATGTCAGCGCACATGTTTATGGACGTTTTTGAGCTGGGAGCCGCCCCCACTGTGACCAGCCCGGTTATCTGTCCAATCACGGCTCTAAGGAAGCCCCATGTTGGCATAAGTCATAAGAGCTTGCCTGCTCTCAAACACGTCTTTAGAGCCCACTCCCAAACACAGCGCAGACACTGCATGGTCACATGACACACACCACAACAGTATTTAATCTGTATCCTTGCCACAGAACGTGTGTGAAGTCAAACCTGCGGACGTGGGTCTGTGGCTTCTCCTCTTCTTCACTCTCATCGTAACTTGAGTCTGAATCGGAGCCCTGAAGACAAACATTTCCCTTTGGATTAGAGCTGACTCAAGCATCGTCAATGATTAGAGCTAACGCTAACTCAAACAATCATTGTTGGACATCGTTCTCTAGGACCACTTCGCCAAATGTTTCAGTGTTTTTAAATATATAGGAACAAAAAAAGTGAAATAACAAGTAATACATTATTTTATTTTTTTTCAGCACTTTTGGGCATGCATAGTCATTATTCTTTCACTTCATAAACAGCGGTGATGAACTCCTACTGTAGCCACAGATGCTCTGGGGCACACAGAAATGGGGGAAGCAACCAGTAGCTGCCATCAGCCCATCCGATCATCACACCAGACTAATTATAACAGTTTGGTATCTTACAGCCACAGCCTCCCCACTGTGGCAACTGGTGTTCCAAGAGGTCTCCCATTACAGTACTAACCAGGCTTTGTCTTACTTAGCTTCAGAGGTTTGACAGCATGCCTTTCAGCTGCAGGTGGAGCCTATTAAAAGTTTTTAAGACAGAAAAGAGAGGACCACCCCCACTCAGCTCAAAGAGGACATAGACTCACAGGGTTCTTTCTGAGACAAAGGATATTGTGTTATAATAAGATGAAGACAGCATGTTTTGGTTCTATTTGTTCACAACATTTTACTTTTAGGACACTTTTACATATTTATTTTTATACCAAAGTCACATACCCCACCACATAACATGTTGTTTTTCCCTTTAAATCAACATAGACCTTTTAGCCATGAGAACTCCATAAAACTTCTTACTTTCATTGACAAGTGAAAGCAAAAATATTATGTAATGTACCTTTTTTGTTTGTATTGTTTGCATTAAGGATAATAATAAATAAAAATACAATATAGCCATAAAGTTATAATCTGTGTTAAAGTGAATAATAAAGAGTACTTACATCGTCCTCCATCTGTTCTCCAGACGCGGTGCTCTTCTTTCGGGGCCTTCTTGAACTCTTACCCGGGCAGGAGGTGCCTCTTCCCGGTTGGCCGTTCGGCTTCCTCCCGATCATCACCATGGCAACGCTCGGTCCTCAGGCTAGCGGATAACGGGTCTAACCCGGGTCTAAAGTCTCGGACCCGCGACTTCAGGCGGAGACGGGAGGCTGCTGCCGCTGTTCTCACGGAGGCAAAGACAATTGTCCCGTGAGAGACTTTACAAACCGCAGAAAACACGAAAACTCCCCAAAAACAAAGCGATAAAAGTGATAAGAGATAAACACGCGTACAGCTGCTGACGTCACCACGGCGCAGCACACTTAAAAGTAAACAGTATTAAAAAACAAAAACAAATATGAAAAAAACAATAATGGGCAAATACACAGATAAAGAGTGTCTGAAAATGTTACATATATAGCAGGGATATGTGACTTTAGTCTCATAAATACCATGTTTAAAACGTTTTTTCTACAATCTTGTAAAAGTAAAATGTGTAACAATGTCTTCATCTTATTATAAAACATTTTTTACAAAATACTTGTATTTTATCTGTTTGTAAATTGTTAAAACATAATATGGTGTGCTTGTACGTATGCCAAGTGTACGTAAGCCTAGAACTGCTCTGAGAATTGTCTAGACTCTAAATGATCACAATGTTAATGTCATAAAAGTATTTGAATATTTCATATATGTATAACTGTTTTTTGAATTGGGAAATTTGAATTCAAACATATGTTATAACTTTGGGAAAATAAACATACAAGGATAAAGCAGCTGTTGTGGGGATTGAGTTGTCTTGTTTCTCTGTTAAAAAACCAGCAAAGAAACATTTTATTTCTTTTATTAAAGAGATTTAAAAAGGCACAAAGCACAATATTCAAATGTTTCAGTCTGAGCATATGTGCAGAACATTGTTTCTGACTCCCAGGCACCAGGCAGGCTCCACACCGGGGGGAGGGGGTCCACATGGGAATGACCTGGTCCACAAATCCTCAGTCTATAAAGTCATGGGCAGGGCAGGTCATCCTTAAGAGCCTAACGCAGGGGTCTCCAGCCTGTGGATCGGGAGCTACCATTAGCATACCACACCCATAGACTGTATATATTAACCACACCCTTTCAGATGGCTCCCTGAATGAATAACTTTACATTACATATTTTCAACTATAACACTTTCGATTTATGGAGGGGTCTATCCATTTTCCCGATCCGATTACGATTATTGATATCTCGATTACCAAAAGATTTTTGATTACTAACGATTCTAAAATCATGCACAATTATTGATTTTCCATTTGTCAACAGTAACCCAAAATACACAAATGCACCATTAAAAAACAGTTAATTGCTGAATTACTTTTAGGTATGTAGGAGGATTTCCCCAAATTTCAGGTAAGAACCGCCCTCTCCACTTTTAAAACAAAACTCTGGTCTTTTTTGACGAGCACATATCACCACAATAGTTGACAATTGGTACAATTGGACAATTTAAACTTAGTCTTGATGATCCACCCCAAAGTTGAAAATCCTCTGATATACCTTTAACTTCTCTTTTATTGAGTAACAACTCAAAGCACTTTATTTGCAGCAAAGTTGAAACTTCAGAATCAATTGTTTCAACCAGTGGGCGCAGGTCGCAGTTCAAAAACGTCCATGAGCATGTGCGCTAACATACTTGCAATCCCACTCCTAGTGGGTGGACCCAGAGAGAAACGTTCAATGCTCTTGTATGGTGTCTTTCCTCTCGAGAACTGCTTTACAGGAAGATCCAAAAGTCGGCTCTGGAAGCTATGTTCCAGATGCATGTCAATGCTAAGGGGAGTATTTATTTTTGGACCAGTCTAGTTTATCTGTGGTGGACTTCAGAAGGCACTCATTAAATGGATGGGGCATGTGCCGGCTAACGCATGTGCAAACACGTTTTTTCACATTTTCCCGCAGGAGGGGATGCCCACGGCCATTTTGAAAAAGCCCCATAGAAGCCCAAGTGATGGCACATTAGTTTCAACAGGGGAGATGGGCGTGACCACATCCGTTAATATCTACCATCTATGGTTTCAACTTGAAGAAAAGGTCCACATTTGGAGTTCAGATTTACTATAATCAGGATTATAGTAAATCTAATTATATATATATATATATATATATATATATACATATATATATATATATATACACAAGATTATATTATAATCTAATATCCTGAATTTCTCCTTTGGGGATCAATAAAGTATCTATCTATAGAAAAAAAAAGAAGAGTGAAGACGCTCAAACAGCCAAAACAGGAGCTAAATCAGGACTAAACCAGAATTACAATGGGGGACACAGTGCTAGTGAAAATATGCCTCCAGCCTGAGTTCTCATTCTCCTGTGACCATAAGTGCTGCTAACGTGTTCATTGATACGGAAATACCGGTTAATAAGATGATACATCCATGTGAGCTCCGTGAGCAGACACTCCTGTATGACGTCTCTGGAGAGTCTCGAGATACAAAGACTCTTTATAAACTTTATACAAAAAGACACTAGCTTAAAGTCCGCTCACCACTTCTGGCCTGCTTTTTGGGGCATCGCAGAAGCACGTCAGATTTTCTGAAATTTAGTTTCTCACTTTTTCCCACTGGGTTTTTTAAGAGTTTTTCCTTGTCGATGCAGGAGGGTCTTGTTGGACAGTTAGTGTCCAACAGAAAGGATTGGTGATGATCAGGACACTTTAGCATTCTACAACATGTATGGACATTTTCTTCTGTGTGTGCTTTATATTCTTCATGTGTTTTAACTGTTGATTCTCTGACCTGTGTTGGTGATTTCAATGGTTTTGTTAAGTCCTCTGAGATGACTTCTGTTGTGACCTAGGGCTATACAAGAATAAATTGTATTGTATTGTATTGTATTGTAGTGAATGCTTTGATAAGTCTGAGGGGTGAGCAGTTTTGAAAGCGCAATAATCGGCCCATACTCGTGGATTACATATAACAAGAAATCTTTTTTTTTTCACCACCCCTTAGAAATGCTGTGTGGCATAATGCCTGTTGTGCATGCGTGTTATCCATGTATTATGACTAAAATAGTAGCTCTCTGCCATGTTCTTATAAAATTAGCTCTCCAATCAAAAAGGTTGGAGACCCCTGCCCTAAAGTAAAGAGCCTATAAAGTAAAACTAAGGTTTAAGAGATGCCAAAATATAAAGTTTTGGCTTATGTTACAAAGTAATTTACAGTTTAAGAGTCAGAGGCTCTCCCTGCTGAGTGAGTCCTCTTCCTGCTGAGTGAGCGTCACCAGAGCTCAAACTTGAGTTTATAAGGGAGAGCAGGCAACGACCCGAGAGCTTTGACCAGAGCCGCTGCTCCGATCCGAGTGTCTGCACCTTACTCTCATCAGGTAGAGTCAACGATGACTCAGTATGAAGTGGCCGTGTCCTTCAGTCAAAGCTGCAGTAGATGAGGCTGGTGCTGGTAGCGGCTCCTTCCTGCTCTGGTTCTGGGTCCTGGTGCGTTTCCAGAGGATCCTGTACCGATTCTGCCTCGTACGGATCCATGTCCGAGTCCATGTCTAGGTCTATGTCAGAGTCCATGTCTGGATCCATGTCCGGGTCCAAGTCTAGAAAACAATCTGGTTCTTGGCCTCGCTCGGACTCTTGGTCCGGATCCATGTTGGAGTCCATGTGTCTGGTCAGATGGTCCTGTAGGCGATTCTCTGTGATGAAGGACTTGCCACACAGAGAGCAGCAGAAGGCTTGCTTACTGTGGACCTTGAGGTGAACCTGTAGGTGGTACTTGCGCGAGAAAGCGCGTTCGCAGAGCTGGCACTTGTACGGCCGCTCCCCGGTGTGGACGCGCAGATGGCGGCTCAGGTCTGTCAGACTCTTACAGGTTTTCCCACAGAAGACACACGGGTGACGCCGCAGCGGGGGAAGACTCAGCTCTGGATTCAGCTCCGGAGAGGGCTGGACTGTGGTGAGGTCAAGGGTCTGGTTTAGGCTCCGGCCCAAGTTCTGGTCTTTGTTGTGAACTTTAGAGTGGCGCTGCAAGTGGTAGAAGGACCGAAATATTTTCCCGCAGAGCACACACTGGTGAATCCTGGCAGGTTTGCGCTTCGAGCTCTCACTGGACTGGCCTTTCTTCTGAGCTTTGGGCTTGTCTTTTGTCTGGTTTTTCTTCTGGCCTCTCCTTGGCTCCTTGTCGTGGATGGTCATGTGGCGTTGCAGATGGTATACCGATCGAAACCCTTTGGTGCAGAAAGCGCAGAAGTATCTCAGGAGCTGCTCTCGAGCCGGGCGCCTGGCCAGGTGCGAGGCAGCACTGGACTCTCTGTGACAGAGAATGATAAATTAGATAAAACTGGAATATAAACAACAAGACAGATTTTTTTTCAGAATTTGATATATTTATGAGTTTTCTGTAAAATCTCAGCTTCACTCACAAAGCCACAGCAGCGGAATCTATAGGAGGATATTTGTTTACAACCGCATGCGGCACTCGCTGGGTGGCAAGAAGACAGAGCGGCACATACAGAAGCATGGATGCGACAAGTACTTTTAAAAGACTCAGAAGCAGAAATGCACTAAATAGAAAGCACTTTAATGCAAGAAGATCAGAGGAGATAAAAATTTCAGTGTTGCATCACAAGTTAAGGAACGGGAATGAGAAGCACACAACACAAGATACGTGAACAATAGCTATACTAATTAAAAGAAAACAAAATCTCTAACTCAAGCATCAAATAACAAGTATAAAATCTCTATCTTGAAAATAATGATAATAAAGAAGTATAAAAGTTATACATTTGGCAGTATAACAGGCAAGTATTGGCAAAGTACTGTACTGTGTATTCTAGTGCAAGCAATGTGTAGTTATTAGGGCTGTCCAAAATAGCGCGTTATTAACGCGTTAACGCAAATCAATATTAACGCCGTCATTTTTTTTCTCGCGCGATAAAAAAAAAAAAAAAAAAAAAAACTTTTTATTGCAGACAAACACATATACAGAAAAAAAAATAGAAACAAAGAAAAGGACTAGTTCAGATACATTGTAGACAGAGATTACAAACAATATGTAGTTGGAGATACAGGGGGCCAAAAGAAGAAACCCAGAAGGGCACATAGGAGGGGGGGGGGGGGACATGAAGTGGGAGATGGGGGGAGGGGTTAATAAAAAAGGCAATATAGCAAGCAAACAGTATACAGTCATAGATATACCGAAGGTAAACAGAGAAACAGCATAGAGTATTTACATGAACAAATTTACAAAATATTTACAGATTGTTTATCATCATCATAATGACACCATGATGTTTCTATACAGTCTATGGTCTATACCCACACATACACACACACACCCACACACACACATTGAAGGGGCTTTTTGTTACCAATTATTTATTTTGTCATCCATTTATTGATGATTTTGCATCAAATGTTAGTGTGTAATATAACACTACACATTGTTTTCAATAAAAAAAAGCAATTGCACACAGCACGCAAATGTGTGACTAATTTGCGATTAATCGCGAGTTAACTATGAAATTCATGCGATTAATCGCGATTAAATATTTTAATCGTTGGACAGCACTAGTAGTTATGTTAGCATTTTCTGTACATTAGTAGCAGTATGTTTACATCTGTACATGTTAGCAGCAGTTATATTCGCACAGTCCTGTATTAGTCCTCTGTACTCTGCGTCATCGTCCGATGATGGCAGAGTCGTCGGAGAACTTCTGTAGGACGCAACCATCCGTGTTGTGTATGAAGTCCGCAGTTTAGAGGGTGAAGAGGAACGCAAGGACTGACCACTGGGGGTCAGTCCTGCAGGTCAGGACCTCAGACAGAAAGTACCTAGTTTTCAAACTGGGGTCTGTCTGTGAGGTAGTCCAGGATCCACTCAAACAGGTCATAGTCCACTCCAGAAGTCTCCAGCTTGTCCCAGAGAAGCTGCGGTGGGATTGTGTTGAAGGCGCTTTATTTATTTATTCTTACTTCATAGAAAACCCGGGGACCTTTCACTTTTTCACCGCAGTAAAGTGGCCCGGTGTTTTGTCGAGTTGTGCTGCATCAGCTGTGAATGATGTAATGCAAACCTGCACATTAGCGTTTCACGGCGGCAGAGGCAAACCAAGATGGCGGAAGTGAAGTCCGTGAATTCTATAAAAAGGTCTGTCGGGTTGATAATGGAAATAACCACCAAAATATAAAAGGTGTAAGTTATTAGCTGTCAAGTTAGCAAGAGGACTGCTATCACACAGCATCAGTGTGGTTTCACGGGAGCAGTTCAATGCTTAAACCAAACTTTTCTCTTAAAACCCATATCACAACACGGAACCATCAACATCTCACTGTAAATTGCATTAAAAGTGACATTCGTGTCTTTACTCTTTAGTTGTTCATATTGTAACTTTTTATAGTATTGACAGACTTTATGTCCAATTGTCCACCATCTTGGTTTGTCTTTGCTGCCGTGAAACGCGAATGCGCAGGTTTGCATTACATCATAAACAGCTGAGGCAGCACAACTCGACAAGCGGCACAACTCAACAGAACACCGGCTTTTTGCCGTTGCGGCCGAAACGGCGCGGTCCGCCTTTAAAGAAGGGTTGGGCGATATTTTTTCTGTACCAGTATAAGTAAATCAAATGATAAGAAAATGCCTTATACCGGTGAAAACGATCATTTAACACTGAAAACGGCGAGCAGAAGACACATTTGTGTGCGCCGCACTTTGATGACGCATCTGCGCGACACGTGTAGCAGAGCGGCGCGTAGAGAGCAAACATGGCTGAGGGCGGCGGTGAAGACCATGGTGAAGACATGGAGATTGTAGAAGACATTGTGCTAAAATGCGGAGCTACCTCAAACATATGGGAGTGGTTTGGGAACTAGATGAAAAGAAGAAATTGTGTGTAACTATCGACAGTGGATCTAATGTTGTAAAAGCAGCTGCCCTAAACTGGACTCGAGTGGCTTGCTTCGGACACTCTCTCTCACAGTGCCATTGGTAAAGCTTTATTTACCGTTTACTGTCATTAATTTTACTTCAAAGTTTGTCTTCAATACAATATAATTACAAATAAGTTATAATTACATAATTATAGAAACGCAAAAGGATACAAAAAAATATATACAGCATGAATGCAGTATTTGATCATTTTGACTATATTGGGATTAGGAAACATAAGCCAAAGTGATCAAATAATTGTTTGATAATGCAACACTTTTTATATTACAAAGGACAAACTTTTATATATTTTACAAATTATAAATGTTCACCTTTATTAGATGTTGCCTGCAATTTTCAGTATGTACAAAACAGAATTCTCTACAATTCAGTTTTGTTAATAAGTTTTAAATGCACTAGCTGTATTGCACATTTTGCTGCCAATAAATCAGTAAATGCACTTTGCAATTTGAGGCAAGTGAGTTTTAAATGATCAGTGCTAAGTTTATATAGCTTTTATATAAGGCTTTGTTGAAATTATATTGTAATCGTGATACATACCAACAAAAATAAACAGCATAAAAGGGCAACCTGAAGTGTTCACACACGACATTCAAAGACACGTACCTACCTCTGCTTCGGCCGCTCTGGCCGCTCCGGCCGCTCCGCAGCGCCCCCTGGCTTCTTGTGCCTGGTCTTGTGGCGCTCCAAGTCAGCTCTGCGTTTGAAGGAAATAGGGCACAGGGGGCAAGGGAAGGGCTTGTCCTTGGTGTGGACCACCATGTGGGCATTGAGGTGGTCTCGTCTGAAGAAGCGCTTGGCGCAGAGTGGGCAGCTGAAGGCCTCCTCCGTGTGGATGCGCATGTGACGCGTCAGCTCGTAGCGCCACTTGTAGCTCTTCTCACAAAACGGGCAGCAGTGTGGCCGCAAGTCAGAGAGGGAGGGGCACAGGTGAGGGTGGTCCAGCTCCAGTCTCTGCTCCTGGCTCAACTCCAGGTCCAGATCCTGGCTCATGCTCTGGTCCAGGTCTAGTTCTTGGTCCAAATCTAGTCCATGGCCCAGGTCTAGTCCTTGGTGCAGGTCTGGTCCTTGGTGCAGGTCTGGTCCTTGGTGCAGGTCTGGTCCTTGGTGCAGGTCTGATCCTTGGTCCAGGTCTGATCCTTGGTCCAGGTCTGATCCTTGGTCCAGGTCTGGTCCTTGGTCCAGGTCTGGTCCTTGGTCCTGGCTCATGTCCTGGTCCAGGTCCGAAGACTGTGCGGTCGCATATGTCTCCTGTTCCTCGCTCCTCACTGAGTCATAGCTCACTTTAGATTCTGAAACAAAAACAGACATGAGTTTGTTTAAGCTCTCAGTCATACAGGGATTAGTCAAAGCAATGGAAGATTTCTCAGCCATCATCTGTACTAGGTTTTCCTGATGTTTTGTCCTTCATCTAAAGGACTTTTTCAAGGAAATGAAATCTCAGAGCGCGCTTTGTAGATTTATAATCTATGGGTGTGGCTAACCACACGTAATCGTGATGCTAACTCATTAACAAACTAAGGTCTGTTTGATGTGGAAGGGAGCAGGTCTAACGACCCTGCTTGGGCAAACAATCCTAACTCATTAGCATGTCACTGACCTATTGTCTGCTGAGATTGCTCAACTAGCACGTCTATAGCTAGGGCGTTGTTTTTAGGACGTCGTCATAGATAAGAGGCAAAACAAATATTAACCCGCCTCCTCTGTTAAGAGAAGGTTTGTGCTACAGGCCACCAACCACACCGTGAACAACACGGAGGTTAAAATTCTGGCTTGAGACAAAAATTGAGGGGTGAAAGAAGCCATTTTTGTGAGGAAGCACAAACCTTCTCTTAAAAGAGGAGTTAATATTTATTTAGCCTTGCATCGATGACGACGTCCTAAAAACAATGCCCTAACTATAGATTAGTGACGTGCTAATGAGTTAGGAGTGGTTAGACCTGCACTCCACTCCAGCAATCTCAGCAGACAATAGGTCTGTGACATGCTAATGAGTTAGGATCGTTAGCCCCAGCAGGGTCGTTAGACCTGCTTCCTTCCACATAAAACAGACCTTAGTTTGTTGATGAGTTAGCATCAGGACCCATAGGTTATAAATCTACGCACAGTCTGAGATTTCATTCCCTTGAAAAAGTCCTTTAGATGAAAGACGAAATGTCGGGAAAACCTGCTAAGAAGTACAGATGAGGGGTGAGAAACCTTGCAAAAACAGACATGATAGTTGACTTGTGTAGCTCCTGATGACAGCTCTACAGAGACACTAGTTTAGCTCCTGATGACAGTCGTACCTGTTGGGGTTGGCGGTTCCTCTTTCTTTAAATGGAGCTGTAGTGTGATGTCACTGCCTGACGCCTCCTCATCAGGCTCCAGATAATCTGAACACATAAGAACAGGGTGAGGTTCAGAGGCTCCGGGCAACTGTGGCTACAATACCTAATCACACTCGTTTTCAGTCACTTTCCCCTCTCCTGGGCCTTGCCAAAATACTAATTTTTTCCCAATGGGTTTCTAGAGTTGTCCTTGCCGATGCAGAATTGTCTAAGGACAGAGGCAATGACCCGGGAAACTCGACATTCAACGTAATTTTTAGACATTTGTATCAACATTTATGGACACTGGTCATTTGGCCCTTATTGTGCAATGGCTCTATGTGTCATTTGCATCATTGCATTTCCTGTGTTTAGACTGAGTGATTCTCTGATCTGTGTTGGCGAATCGACAGCTTTGTCCTCCTGGATAACTACTGTTGTGATTTAGGACTATGAAAAAATCTAATGAATTGATAGCTGCATCGTGTGGATACCTGTCTTGAAGATTTGTCTTTGTCTCTTCTTCCTCGATCTCCTGGTCTCCTTCTCATGTGCCCCGGCCTGGTCCTGTCCTCTCTGGCCCTGTCCCCTTTGTCTCCTGGTCTCCTCTTCATAGTCCCTGATGCATTTCTCCAACAGTTCACAGATTTCCTCCGCAGCGGCAGAAAGACGCCGTTTCACCGCCTCCCGAAGCTGCACCGCGACCACCACCATCGTGCTCTCGTTTAGCGCCGACATAAACCTGCTTTAACCCGGTTTAGACCTAGTTTAGACACGATGTGGTCCTTGGAAAGACCGGGTTTAGTGCTGATTGAGTCTTGTGGTAGATTTAGTCCTAGATGAGTACTCTTGTAGACCTGGTTTGAACCTAGTGTTGTCCTGGTTTAGACCTAGACCCAGTAAGTCAGTTTTTAACTCTAATTCAGTCTCTCGTCTTTTCTGCAGCATATTTTCGCATTTGTTGGAGACGCCATTTTGAAAAGTCTTCTTGCTGCTCAGGCGGGAGGGCGCCCTTCACTGGCCACACTCTGTAACTGCACTAACATTACATTTAATAAAAGTACTAGTTTGAGCTCTTACGAGTTACATTCACATTTTTGTTGCCAATATCTTACTCCTTGTGAATTATATCATATAAAAAACAACAACAAAAATAAAGCCAAAACATAACTGGCAACCCAAACGACACCCACACTGCTCTGATCAGGCTTTTTTTTTTTTCTTTATTGACTCAAACTCTTGCAGAGGTGACATGACATAGAAAAATAAAACAATGCATGCATTAACTTGGGGATAGTACAATTGAGGCATATCAGGTTAAACAGACACAAAAGAAAAGGATGCAGACATTTCTACAACATAAAGAATTTAGACATAGAAGCACAAATTTCTTTTACAATGGCAGATTTAAGCAATTTTAGTGAGGAAAAGGAGATTCTGAAATCATTCAAAAAATGATTGAAACAAGGGCTTGACTTTCTCCATTATCTACAATGAATATGGTTTTTGGCTAATAGAAAAACAATACTGTATTTACAACATCTGAAACTTTCCTATCTAAATTATTGACAAAATAGAATATGTGACACAATTCAAAATCAGGAATATCTAAAATGTTTAAGGAAAGCCACTCTCTGATGTCATTCCAAAATTTACGAGAGACTGAACAGGTGAAAAACAAATGCTCTAAAGTTTCCTCAGGACAGTCACAAAAAGTACAGCCTGAGTTTTCATACATAAACCGTTTGTGAAGAAAATATGACACTGGATACCTTTTGTGGCAAATCTTAAAGTGAGTTTCTTTGACTTTTGGTGGAATTGGCCATTTAATGTACTTGGAGAAGGCCTCATCCAGCAAAACATAAACTTCATTGATAAAAACTACCCTACAGTGTCCATGATAAAGACAAGATTTGAAAGCATCAGTCACAACTTTTATGACATTTCTTATCAACCAAATTTAGATTGTTTAACAGCAAACTAGGCAATGTTGGAGTGACAGTGGAGTGAATTTGAGCATTACGGATCAGATGAATCAAGGCTGCAGGGATAGCTTTGTAGACTTTATGATAATCTTGATGTGTACAGTATAAATTACACCGGTTGACAAAAAGGCTGTGCTCCAATAGCTCTCCATTACTGTCTAAGACATCAGTTACAAACACGACCCCTTTATTAAACCATTCGGACTTAACATTGTATTTTCTACTAATAAGAATAGACCTGTTTTTCCACAGAACAGATCCATGTGGAGTGAAATTGTGCTTGAAGACCATTTTCCAATAATGTAATAATTGTCTGTGGAATTTTGATGAATAAAATAAATCCCATTTGCTCTATCTCGAAATCACATCTCAGCAAAAAATCTAGACCCCCGAATTTGTCAAAAATAGCCAAAGGGATATGAAACCACATAGTAGTTGGTGAAGAGAAAAAAAGCTGACTCTAAATGATCCAATCAGTGGTTCAAAGTCCAATGCTTTAACACCACCATTACAATATTCTTTAACTATGGTAGATCTTTTCAAGTAATGTGCTTTGTTTCACCATAAGAACTGGATAATAATGAGTAGGCATTCTTTATGTTTCTATTTGAAATTAAAGAGAGTATGACAAGGATAAATTAGTCTTGATACACCCTCCACCTTAGACAAAAGAACTCTTCAAAAAATGGTAAGATCCCTTGTGAGTCCTTTTCCTATCAACTATACGTTTCAATTAAAAGAGGGTCTTTATTAGCTTTGGGAATCAGGGTAATAAGGCCATTCTTCATAGTGGGTGAAAGATTTTGGCTTGTAATGCACTCACAAAGGGCTTTGAATACCAATTGACGAATTTTACCCAAAAGAAAAGAAAAAATTCAACAGTCAGGCCGTCTAGGCTAGGTGACTTCCCTTTGGCCATTTGATGGGTTTCTGTATCAAGTTCTTCAATAATTAAATTATCTTCCATATCACCTTTTAATTCATCCTTAATTTTTTCTCCTATGGATTTGATTGAATCAAAAAAGGATTTACAGCTTGGCTCAGAGAAATTTGTGGAATGTAGTTTGGAATATGAAAAATTTAAAGATTGTTGAATTAATTTTCTCTGACTCCTCAGTAATGACACCATTTATATTAAATTTAGAAATTCTCTTTTTGGATTGTCTATGTTTCTCAAGACTAAAAAAATACGTATTTTTTTCACTTTTCTCAATCCAGCGAGCTCTTGACCGAACAAAAGCACCTTTCAGAATCAGAATCATTTTTATTGCCACGTACAGTGCCTTGCGAAAGTATTCGGCCCCCTTGAACCTTTCAACATTTCGCCACATTTCAGGCTTCAAACATAAAGATATAACATTTTAATTTTTTGTCATGAATCAACAACAAGTGGGACACAATCGTGGAGGGGAACAAAATTTATTGGATAATTTTAACTTTAACAAATAAAAAACTGAAAAGTGGGGCGTGCAATATTATTCGGCCCCTTTACTTTCAGTGCAGCAAACTCACTCCAGAAGTTCAGTGAGGATCTTTGACTGATCCAATGTTGTCCTAAATGACTGATGATGATAAATAGAATGCACCTGTGTGTAATCAAGTCTCCGTATAAATGCACCTGCTCTTTGATAGTCTCAGGGTTCTGTTTAAAGCGCAGAGAGAACCATGAAGACAAAGGAACACATCAGGCAGGTCCGAGATACTGTTGTGGAGAAGTTTAAAGCCGGATTTGGATACAAAAAGATTTCCCAAGCTTTAAACATCTCAAGGAGCACTGTGCAAGCAGTTATATTGAAATGGAAGGAGTATCAGACCACTGCAAATCTACCAAGACCCGGCCGTCCCTCCAAACTTTCATCTCAAACAAGGAGAAGACTGATCAGAGATGCAGCCAAGAGGCCCATGATCACTCTGGATGAACTGCAGATAACTACAGCTGAGGTGGGAGAGTCTGTCCATAGGACAACAATCAGTCGTACACTGCACAAATCTGGCCTTTATGGAAGAGTGGCAAGAAGAAAGCCATTTCTCAAAGATATTTATAAAAAGTCTCGTTTAAAGTTTGCCACAAGCCACCTGGGAGACACACCAAACATGTGGAAGAAGGTGCTCTGGTCAGATGAAACCAAAATCGAACTTTTTGGCCACAATGCAAAACGATATGTTTGGCGTAAAAGCAACACAGCTCATCACCCTGAACACACCATCCCCACCTCAGCTGTAGTTATCTGCAGTTCATCCAGAGTGATCATGGGCCTCTTGCCTGCATCTCTGATCAGTCTTTTCCTTGTTTGAGATGAAAGTTTGGAGGGACGGCCGGGTCTTGGTAGATTTGCAGTGGTCTGATACTCCTTCCATTTCAATATAATTGCTTGCACAGTGCTCCTTGAGATGTTTAAAGCTTGGGAAATCTTTTTGTATCCAAATCCGGCTTTAAACTTCTCCACAACAGTATCTCGGACCTGCCTGGTGTGTTCCTTTGTCTTCATGGTTCTCTCTGCGCTTTAAACAGAACCCTGAGACTATCAAAGAGCAGGTGCATTTATACGGAGACTTGATTACACACGGGTGCATTCTATTTATCATCATCAGTCATTTAGGACAACATTGGATCATTCAAAGATCCTCACTGAACTTCTGGAGTGAGTTTGCTGCACTGAAAGTGAAGGGGCCGAATAATATTGCACGCCCCACTATTCAGTTTTTTATTTGTTAAAAAAGTTTAAATTATGCAATAAATTTCGTTCCACTTCACGATTGTGTCCCACTTGTTATTGATTAATTACAAAAAATTAAAATTTTATATCTTTATGTTTGAAGCCTGAAATGTGGTGAAATGTTGAAAGGGTCAAGGGGGCCGAATACTTTCGCAAGGCACTGTAAGTAACAAAGTTACCACTTGGAAATTGTTTTGGCAGAGAGTGTGCCACTTCGCCATTTGCGATGCTGTGTGCAACAAGAAACAGCAGAGAGCAATAACACACAGTTTCACAGACAGTTGGATAGACACATTGTGCTTTGTATAAACCACGGATTTTTTTCTTGGGATGAGCACCTCCGACTGCCGGCCCAATGTAGCTGTCAGAGGGGGGCAGGGTCAGAGAGGGGGTGAGCCGGAAACACAATGAGGAGTGGAGGGGAGGGAGGGAGCAAGATGGATAGGTAGAGGGAGGCGGGGGGAGCGGGATCCGAGCTGGAGACTGAATAGTGTGAGTTGTTGTAGATTGGGGGACCTTGTTTTATGGCCTTGGACGAGGAATGTGAGATAAGAGTGGAGAGAAGACACAGCAGGAGAAAAACACATCGCCTGAGAGGGACAATATTATATGCAATGTAGCAGTCAAAAGCAGGCAGATATTCTATCGAATCCAATTAAACCGAATTGCGGCGACCTCAGACCTCCGTACACAGGGGCAAATCCAAGCCGGGTCAGAGAGTTCAAGCCTGACACACGATGTCATTCAATCTCATCTCCAATGTTTTATTCCCTTCGAGTGAACGAGCTGCGAGGTCTTTAATCAACTGTTCCACCAACACAACTCTCCTTTGGCCAGACACGGCACTCTCAACCACGACACGGCTTAACTCCTTGTACATCCCATCAATTTTGTCGGCCAGCAGCTCGTGAATCTTGCGAACCGCCATGCCTCCGAATTTGCAGTGGAAAAGGGCCGCTCCAAACCCAAACAGGAGGATCCCCGCTACCAAAATGCCAAAGATATATACGTCTTCCGAATCATCAATGGACAGGGTCGACAGACAGAGGGGCTGAAACTTGTTCCAGCTGTCAAGAGTATACCCCGCAGGTGAAGTCCCGTCTGGGCACACGGGCTCTCCAGACCCACGCTTACGTGTTGAAAAGATAGAATCAATTGCGTTGAGGGACCACCAGTTAATCAGTTAATCTTTAGCCTTCTCTAAGAAAAACGTATCAAGTTGGTTCTTTTTCTTCATTTGATACATATCTTTAGACCACAGGAAATTAATTGTGGTGATAATTTCAGTTTGTTTGGCTCTTTTTTGTTGAGCAGAGTTTTCCGGTCTTAATTGCAATTTCTTTCTCTTTGCATTTAAACCATTCCCACTTGTTCAAGGGTGTTGATTCAAGGGAGTTTATTTCAGCAATGAGATGTTTAACTTCTTTGCAAAAAAGGTCATTGGATAAAAGAGTATTGTTGAATTTCCAAACGATGGAGTTCTGTTATTGTTTAAGGAGTCACTGCACAGTGGTCAGTTAAGGGAGAGGCAGTGATAATGCTATTGATCCAGTTGCGTGGTATGAGCCAATAGTCTAGCCTCGAACACTGACCATTATTGGAAGCATTGAACCAGGTGTATTGTCTTGTAATACTGTTTCTTAATCTCCAACAGTCAATTAAACCAGTATAGTAAATCAAATCCAAAAACATGTCATCAAAGGCGTTATGCTGCGCCCTAGTCTTCCCTGTTTTATTTGCGCAGTCAAACTCAATAGACTGACTGTTCATTTATGTTATTATTATCGTTAAATGCAAGGGGACTAAAAGATATCACTAAACGTGAGGCAACTTTTCTTTTCTGTAAGGAGCAGAGGGTGAACTGTATTTTCAGACTCATTCTGAAAACGAAGACATACAGTTTTGGATACAACAATGGGGAGACTGTATTTCAGTCATGGCACATGGCGCATTCATCTGGAGTGATGATTTTGTTTTACAAGTTTCCTGGGACAATGATAGACTTCAATAGTGACAAAAACGGTCATTGGCTTATGGTAGTGGTTGAAATAGAATACTCTAGATTTATTTCAATTCATGTGTATGGCTACAATGTTAAATCCCAGAAAAAGATATTCTATGCAGATTTGTGTGAGAGAATAGACAATGGAAACAAAATATCTGAATGATAACATTATTGTGTGTAATTCAATAGCCCTATATGAACCGGTGTAAAAACAAACCTTCTTGGAATCAATGAGGAGTTGTATGTTTGTCCACATCAACTCATTTTGTTGTCAATCAGCGCGAAGCCCTCCTTCAGGTGCGCTCGCTTCCCTTGTCTCCGTCCGGGCCTCTTGCACCAGCGGCCACCGCTTGGCACGGTGTGCGCGGTCTTCTTTGGAGAAATCTTCATTGAAGCTGATGCTGGGTTCACACCAAACGTGTTTTGAGCGTCTAATGGTGCATTCACACCAAACGCGTTTTGAGCGTCCAAAGCGTTGAAATACATGCGGGACGCGCTTCTATGGAACGTCAAGAGATCCCGCGGCGCGTCACGCGCTTTCCGAGCAGCTCGTCTTGGAGCGTTTCGCGCTTTTGGAGCGTTTCGCGCTTTTGGAGCGTTTCGCGCTTTTGGTGCGGCGCGTTTTGAGATTTCAAGCGATTACTTATTAAAGCTACACTGAGGAAACAGTCCATGGAGACAGCAGCTATAGTATGCTAACGCGTGTTATCTGTATTAATATAAAATAGATTGTGTATATCGTTTTTGATCCCATACTCGGACTGGGAATACTGTATTTACTTACATTTACTGTATATATTTGGCTTATTATGAAGCACTTTCCATACAATAGTCTGATAAATATATGTATAGAATGATGAAATAAAAGCACATTATGCAGATGTTTCTTTTGTCATGAATAAAATACATTTACAGATGAATTCCTCAATTCCACAAAAACAGGATTAAAGTGGTTAGCCACGCCTGAAAGCATTAGTCTATTTTTCATTTTTTCCATCAAAACAAAAAATCAAATATCAAGCCAATTTTTCGTTTTTCCTTTTCCTCATCAAAATGAAAAATGAAAATTCAAGCCATTTTTTGATATTTACTTTTCTATTTTAATTTGAAAAAACGATTGAACGAAAAATACACGGATTCGGTTCAGTTCTCTCCAATCCGTTATATAAAACTATTTTATCATTAATTGATAAAAGGCGGATTTTCCAGTGTCGTCCTCTTTATTTGTAAAACAGCAGCTTTTCACTTCAAAAGTTCAGAGGTTGTTGCTGGTTTCAGCGTCTTTGGTATAGCTTCATGTCAGAGCCTCTATTCACTTCTCAAATATGAACAACAGCCAGGACTTCCAGTATTTAAACTAAAGTTTAGTTATTGGCAAAGAAAATGTTTGAACCAGGACTTTCTGAAACCAGGTGTGAACCAGAACTTAAAGGGACAGGACACGCGTCAACACCAGCACATCCAGTAAAACAGAATCTACAAATATTTACTTTGGGATGTCATGCTTTAGAAGTTGAAATAATGGAAGTAGAAATTTAAATAGGACAATAAAACATGTAGAGCGCAGACCTCTGCCAAGAGGCGCAGCTACATTCTTTTTAAACATTCATGGATCCAGATCTCCACAGTTGGCTCATGTGTTCCATTCCCAAGGTTTAAAGTGTTGTAATGATCCCCCCATAACACATGAACAAACCCTGAAAACATAACTCCTGACAGAGGTAATGGGGCGAGGCTTCAGTCAGAGTTTGACAACGCCAGAGGCTAACAAGCTTCATTATTAATGCAGTCGAGCTTGTGGTCGTTACTAAGGGTCTCCAAGATGTCTGCCCCTTCAGATCAAATACTCATTGGTTCATGGTCGCACCATGGATGTCCCAAACATTAGCAGAAGTGACGTGTTCTGGTCAGCTCTGGCTCTCCTGGCCTGTGCAGTAGGTGTGCAGTGGGTCTACTCCCACAGGACCAGAGTAACATGTGAGCGTTCTGAACAATGAAAGTGTGGATTTATATAAAACCGATGGATTTCAAATCTTGTGTTACTTACAGTGTTAAATCAGACACACTAGAAACAGAGTCTTGATCTCAGTGAGGTTCTCCTGGTTAAAGGATGAATAAAAATTAAATAAAAAAGCCTATGCATCTGACATGACATGTTTCACTCAATCAGCTCACATTATTATGCATTATTATACATAATTAGAAATTTACAGATTCGCTCCAATTTGGCCCTTTTTACATTTTTCCGTGTTTTAAAACAAAGAAAGGTTGCTCGCCCATCATCTGTGCTTCAGTTAGCAAGTTTTCCGACGTTTTGTGCGTAATCAGAATCGGAATGAAATGAAAGCTCAACCACGTGTTGGTGATTTATAATCTGTGGGAGTGGTTAGACACCGCCTGGTCCTGAGGCCAACTCATTAACGCATCTATAGTCTGCTCAGGGCGAGTGCAGGTCAAAAAATCCTAACTCATAAGCATGACATTGACCTTTCCAAGTTGGACCTATTGTTTTGGGGCGATGTTTTTAGGGAGTCGTTATAGATGCAAGGCAAAACTAATCGTAAACCACCTCCTCTGTTTAGGGATGGTTCGTGTTTCCTCCCAAAAATAGCTTCTTTCACCCCTCTCTGAAACCAATTTTTGTCTCGAACCAAAATTTAATTTAATTGAATACGCTATTGCTCTGTGAGTGGATGGGTTTTTTGTCTAAGGGATGCAGAAATATCTGTGTTAAAGTAGCAATATGTACAAATTTCATGTCATCATTAAATGGCCTTAATCTGTCAAAAGGCATTAATAAACCATGGTCTTTTTGAATACTTCTTTAACTGATGATAGCAGTTCAGCCGATATTTAGATTTCAAAATTTGTTTTACAGCCCCTAAATCTTGTTATTGTTTTCATTTCAATGTCCTGCCCTCCACTATTGCACCAATCAGAAAGTCTGACCCGGTTTGCCACAACTCACCGCGTCAAGCTAATCTCACTGGTAAAGTAACATGTGGCTGCAGTACTAAATTAAATCTTGTTATGATTATCAAACCATTAATGACAAAACAAGGAATCAAACAAGGATTTCTTTCGGGGCCTTTGTGAAAAAGGTATTGGTTATAGATGAAAATATTTTATATTTTTGACGAAACTCTTTAGATATTATGGTCCCAGCTGGATTAATTTGCATATCCGGCCACCCGAGTCAGGGAGAGTGGGAGAGGTTGCAGTACCACTTTTGGTCAGATTTGTTCAAACTGCTCCTTTAAAATGTTGAAAGGTTTGAAATATAAAATGTATTTTGTGTTACATTAAGATTCTTTGTAGTTTCTATGAAACTCTTATTCCATTTTTTGCTGTCTCTCGTTGTTCTTTGGGCTTTTGTAAAAGACCACTCTCAGCAGACAATAGGTTAGTGACATGCTAATGAGCCCGAGCAGGATCATTAGATCTGTACCTGTGTAGACCATAGATGTGTTCATGAGTTAGCCTCAGGATCAGCATATAAATCTCCAACTCGTGGCTGAGCTTTCATTTCCTTGAGAAAGTTCTTTGGATTAGGAACGAGACGTCGGACAACCTGCTAAATGAAGTCCAGATGCTGGGTGAGCAACCTTCCTTTGTTTTAACTAAACACTGTACGACTCAGGGCTTACACACACATTGTGTTTTACTCACTGTTTTTAGACAATGTCACACAGGTTACCAAGCAACAAGATGTTATGCAGTAAATGTGACAAATATAAAAGTGTTGTATACATGTGTTCTCTGTGATCACCCGCCCAACACTGTAATACAGTCACTTCTGCACAGAAGCAGACCACACACCTCCTGTTTCAATACTAACCATCGTTTTCAATAAATAAATATTTTCTATTATTTGCAATTAATATTGTAACCAGTCCTGGTTGGACCTGGTTCACACCTTGTTCAGGCTCAGTTCTGGTCCGAGTCCTGGTCCTGGTCCATGTCTTCTTCTCTGGCGGCCACATTGCGTGTGTTCCACTCGTCAGAGTCGTACTCAATGCTGTCATTGTCCTCCTCTGCTCGTCCAGTCCCGTCCTCTCTCTCCTCTCCCTCTCTGTGTGCTCGTTCGCCCTCTCGCTCACCCTCTCCTGGTCCTTGCTGGTCCTCTCTCTCCTGTGGTGGCGTGACAGTGGGCGTGTCGTGGAGGTGTATGCGCTGGTGGCACATGGGGCAGGTGTCCTGGATGTAGAGCCACTTCCTCAGACAGAGAGCGTGGAAGTAGTGCTTACAAGGCGTGGTGCAGGCGGCCGCGCTGAACTCCTGGTAACAGATGGCGCAAACGTCGCTGATGTGCTGAAGCTCTGCCCCCTTCAGCTGCGGCAGAGAGTTGATCTTTTTCACTGCACTACGGCGGTTAATGAAAGTCCTCCAGCCGCTGCGGGCCTGCGGGTCACATGACAGGAGTACTGTTAATGATACTGTAACTAACTGCTTTATTCAAGAATATCAGCAATATTTCGTTAAAGAGTGACTAAACATCTCTGCCCAGTCTCACTCCGCCCACATGAACATTTGAAATTTTTCTCAAAAAAAAAAGGGCGTTTCCTGGAGGGACAAGAAGGGGGGCTTAGAGTTGGGCGTGGTCTGGGCTCAATGCATATTAAAACAGCTCGACCTCAGCTGACAGAGAACCTACAGCTTTCATAAAGGTCGGATTTTGTGGGGATTTTAGTGTCCCTTGTCATCCTGAACTTTTCTTCTTCTTAAATCCTTTGGTTTTGTTTAAATCCACACTTTAGTGCCACAAACTCTGCTCGTCTGGCTCTCGCTCTAACTCCCGCTCTGATGAACTGCTCTGATTGGTCAGAGCGCAGCCGAGCCCCTCTGTGCACGTGCGTGAGACCCGGTGTGTGACCCACACACGCGTGTTTGGCGCAATGCAGTATGGGAGATCATCCACTGCGCAGAACCGGGAGGACCAGACGATGCCCAAATACAGGCGAGTTTCACATAGATCTTTGCGAGTTCCAGGCGACTTCCGCTAATCTTTCAGCCCCCATGCCGTCACAAAGCGCCACTGAGCACAACCATTCATTTGAATAGGGCGCCATCTTGGATCGGCGGGGCTTGGTTTATATCACTGGCGCAGACAGACTGACGTCACACATACAAACTGAAGTCACACAGTATTACAGAGTCAATGGAGAGGCCAGGACCAAATTCAAATGTACTACCAGAGAAAAGGTTGAGAGGGCGTCACACAGACGTTTGTAGGCTCAAAAGAAATTTGCACTAAAATGTCAAAAAAATGACCAGGATATGTAGAGAGTAGCCTGGTCGTACCACACCATAGTACAAATGACATTTCGTATTAAGGTCTGGACGTGCTCCATTGAGCTCCGTTTACAGGTGGGAGGGCTTAACTCTTTTTGCAGATTGAAACAATTGGATCTGAGTTTACCGTGATGTATGTAGTGCGCCCGAGTCGGTTGTTAGCATTTAGCCTAGCCATCTCCTTTTCTGCTAACGGAGCCCGTAGGGAGTAGCGCCACAATCTTTACCACCGATTACATTTGATAAACATTCCTCTTTCTTGATAGAACCAGACTGGATTACTTTACTATCGCATTCTTCGCCACTGCCAAACCACAACCTGCTCGTTAGGCGCAAACTCTTGACGTCACCGGCACCGACCTGCAACGCGCTCTCTGATTGATCGGTCGAAATTCAGTTAATTCGCTAAGACGGGGATCAGGCCCAGACGTTACATGTATGTAGTGTACCGATGGCTAAGGCCAGGCTATGTACAGAGCACAACAATAAACATATTTATGCAGTTTATGAGTTAAAAAAAGATTATGAAGATTATGTGTGTCTCTGTGAGTGTGGGTGTACCTGCAGGTAGATATTGAAGTAGGCGTGCAGACACATCATACAGGCTCGGATCTTGCTCCCTGACTCGAACATCATGGTGTAGGCTCCATTCCCGAACATAACCACACCAAACAGGAACTCCATCACGCTGCCGCTGGAGCGCACATAGTACACATAGTCGTCAAGCTGCTCCCAGAGCGAGGACCAGCAACCGTCCACCATGAAGAGGACATACACTGTGAGGGAAACCAGCACCTGCACACACACCATGGGGGAAGGGGGCAGTGTTGTGTAAACACGTGTCAGAATGATAGAGAGACAAGAGAGCAGGGTTTGTACAGCTTTTGAAGTGTAAAATGGGAACTTTTTCAAGGTACCGGCGCTTTAAATAATATAAATAATAATAGACATACATTAATTAAATTCTATGTGCTTTGGCGGTATAAATCACCGATATAGCATGCTGTGACTCTGACTGGGAGCACACCAGTCTCGCAGTCTTCACTTTAAAAATCTTCAGCATTACAGACAGCTGAACAATGAAATGTTCAATATCATTATCACTTCAATAAAGCAAACGTAAAAACATGATCATGTTTTTTTTTGACAAAGTAATCCAAAGTGGAAACAAAAAAAACGGCCTGTCGTGGTAGTGATTAGTTCACATATTACTTTTGGGCACAACCAACTTGCATTGTCAATGCAAGGGAAAATGTAGGTACCCCAGCCATAATTAACCATTTTAGTTTTCCGTGCTTCAGGAGGAGACATAGGGGGAGACATGGTCACTTCCTGTGGCTCCAGCTGTTTCTTTGCGCAAAGACACGCACACAACAAGCAGAGAATGGTCTTTGCCGCGTTGTTGTCAAAGTGGCTCACAGTTGCTGTAGGTGGGAACCACTGTCATTACAGAGCGGGCTCAGTTGTTCCGAGGTCAGAACTATGAAGCCATGGAGAATACGGAATCCCGTTCGAGTACGCACAGCAAACAACAGCAAGTGCACCGTATTTACGCGCGTCCCACTCTCACTGCACCATGCCCCCTAGGGGAACGTCCTATAATTTGAGAATTACTGGTTTATGTGGTACGCAAAAGCACTTACTAACTCAAGAGATAGTATGCATTTATGATTTTGTCATTATGTGCCCCCTGCCTATAATCCAGCTCTGTTTCTTACAGATGCATATTTATTTTGGGCACAGGTTACGCAAACAGGTTGTGCACTTGCAACAATGTTCCTGTCTGCGCTGGGTACATAAGGACCATGTTATGCCTGCGCACTCGCTTTCACTGGAGGCAAGAGCCTCCATCTACATTACTGAGCAGCCGCAATGGCTCTGGGGTCAGAACGCATCACTATTTGAGAAGGACTGGTGTAGGCTAATATCACTTTTAGACGATAACCCCCAGCTAACGCTACCTAAAAATTGAGGTTGGCTAGCATTAGCATTAGTTATTCATGTTGTAGGATAGCAATAACTTTGTAAATTACCTTTGGCATGGCTTGTAAGTGCCCCACATTGTATGTAAATGATGTCCCTTTTGCAGGCCGTGCAGTATCCATGTTTTTGTATCCAAACTTTGTACTTATCTGGTCTTTCTCAGAAAGACCAGAGAGAGATTTGAGTCCAGAGAGATCAGAGAGAGAAACCCGACTGAGACCACAGCGAGAAACGCCAGAGAGAGATAGGACCAGAGAGCGGGACCAGAAAGAGACTAGTGAGAGAAAGAACAGTATGACCTTTGATTTGGTGATGTTTAGCCTGGCGATGGCATCTCACCTTGAGGCAGAGCTCGACGCAGAAGGCGGTAACTGCGAACAGCCAGGTGTTGAGGTGGTAGAGCCTCCACAGCAGTAGGGACAGACAGGCGGGCAGCAGCATCAGTAGTGCACTGACCAGCAGCACAGGCAGGTGGCGCCGCAGAGACGACACGTGAGACGCACTCAAAGACATCAGCACCGGGTCCACCATGCCATGCACGAAGTGGAGCACCGCCGTCAACAGCAGGCACATGTTCCTGCCCAGACGCTCCTGCAGGGAGCGCCACAGAGAGGGGAGAGTCACGCATCAAGGAGGCGAGAGATGAGAGGGAGACCAGAGAGAGAAGGAGGCAACCAAGGGGAGGGGGAGGGGACTGTGAGAGAGAACAAAGAGAGCGACCAGAGAAATCAGAGTGAAGGAGAAGACCGCGGTGAGACAGATAGGGCTGCAGTGAGAAAGACAGAGCCCAGAGACAGAGCCCAGAGACAAGAGACAGAGCCCAGAGACAGAGCCCAGAGACAGAGCCCAGAGCCCAGAGACAGAGACCAGAGACAGAGCCCAGAGACAGAGCCCAGAGACAGAGCCCAGAGACAGAGCCCAGAGACAGAGCCCAGAGACAGAGCCCCAGAGACAGAGCCCAGAGACAGAGCCCAGAGACAGAGCCCAGAGACAGAGCCCAGAGACAGAGCCCAGAGACAGAGCCCAGAGACAGAGCCCAGAGACAGAGCCCAGAGACAGAGCCCAGAGACAGAGCCCAGAGACAGAGCCCAGAGACAGAGCCCAGAGACAGAGCCCAGAGACAGAGCCCAGAGACAGAGCCCAGAGACAGAGCCCAGAGACAGAGCCCAGAGACAGAGCCCAGAGACAGAGCCCAGAGACAGAGCCCAGAGACAGAGCCCAGAGACAGAGCCCAGAGACAGAGCCCAGAGACACAGAGCCCAGAGACAGAGCCCAGAGACAGAGCCCAGAGACAGAGCCCAGAGACAGAGCCCAGAGACAGAGCCCAGAGACAAAGCCCAGAGACAAAGCCCAGAGACAAAGCCCAGAGACAAAGCCCAGAGACAAAGCAGAGACAGAGCACAGAGCACACTCACCAGCCGCTCCTCGGGGTCCAGGCTGCTCAGGCCGGTCTGCAGAGCCAGGATGAAGAACAGGATGGGAGCCACAGAACCAAGACGCCGGTCATCTTCCTCTGTGGAACCTGCACAACAAACAAGATGTCAGGGACCAGGAGAGAGACCAGAGAGAAATACCACAGAGAGAGAGACCAGAGAGAGACCAGAGAGACAGATAGAGAAAGACCAGCGAGAGAGACACCAGAGAGAGGACAGAGTCAACGTGGAACATGGGTCAGTACCGATGAAGGCGAGGATGCCGAGGCCGAGGTAGTGCGCCAGAGACGAGATGACGGCGCTCATGCCCAATACGGCCAGCGTCGAATCACAACCGGAGATGATGAGGTGAGACGTGAGATCACAGAGGTCCTGCCAGCTCCACAGCTCCAACTGCAGGCACAGCATAAGGTCACAGCTCCACACCTCTTTCTGTGTGTGTGTGTGTGCCTCTGTGTGTACACCTGTGTGTGTATACCTTTGTGTGTGTACCTCTGTGTGTATGTATAAGTGTGTAAACATTTGTGTGTGTGTATACCTTTGCGAGTGTGTACCTTTGTGTTTCTGTGTGTACCTATGTGTGTATGTAAACCTGTCTGTGTGTGTACCTGTGTGTGTGTGTACCTGCGTGTGCGTGCCCCCTGCTGGCTCGCCTCTGTTCACATAGAGCTGTATCAGAGCCTGAGCAGTGACTCGTGTGATCCAGAAGAGCCTCAGGACGTCTGGGAGGCGGATCCTTAGCCACGTGTCCTCCAACACCGCTTGCAGCCCGTACAGCCGGACCATGATACGCAACAGCATACACTCGTACCTAAGACACATATGGCATTTAACCCAGGAGCAAGACTGAAGACCAGAGATCAGAGAGAGACCAGATAGAGAGACCAGGGAGAGATCAGAGAGAGACCTGAGAGAGACCTGAGAGACACCAGAGAGAGACACCAGAGAGAGACACCAGAGAGAGACACCAGAGAGAGACACCAGAGACACCAGAGAGAGACACTAGAGAGAGACACCAGAGAGAGACACCAGAGAGAGACACCAGAGAGAGACACCAGAGAGAGACACCAGAGAGAGACACTAGAGAGAGACACCAGAGAGACACTAGAGAGACACTAGAGAGACACTAGAGAGAGACACTAGAGAGAGACACCAGAGAGAGACACCAGAGAGAGACACCAGAGAGAGACACCAGAGAGAGACACCAGAGAGAGACACCAGAGAGAGACACCAGAGAGAGACACCAGAGAGAGACACCAGAGACACTAGAGAGAGACACCAGAGAGAGACACCAGAGAGAGACACTAGAGAGAGACACCAGAGAGAGACACCAGAGAGAGACACCAGAGAGAGACACCAGAGAGAGACACCAGAGAGAGACACCAGAGACACTAGAGAGAGACACCAGAGAGAGACACCAGAGAGAGACACTAGAGAGAGACACTAGAGAGAGACACTAGAGAGAGACACCAGAGAGAGACACCAGAGAGAAAGATTTGTACAAGGATTTTAATCTTCAGATTCCATTGAAGGGAATTGGACTCAAACCCTAACTCTAACACAAACGAATAACTTATGTCAAAAATGAAAACTGCAAAAAGCCACAAAAAATTTGATCTGACTTTAAACAAAGGTAACTGCTGTAACCTTTGTTTAAAATTGCTTCTATTACTACTGAATAGTCCTGAATGTCGAAATGTGCAATATGAAACCACCTGTGTCCACTGTAACCCAGACCCTCATGCTGCTAACATGTACAGGTGTATCTATGTTTCTGTAATATACAGTACTTTACACTTGCTTCTTTGTTATGCTAAAGTCAGAGATATTGTACTTATTAATTCTTGCTTCTTATAGATTATAGACTGCTTCCTTATTATCATCACTAAAGCTAGTGTTTTTTTTTTTTTTTTTAAGAGTTTAGTATAGAGCTGTGTTAATTTATCTTGTGATATGTGCTGCTTATTCATACTGTTCTGTAACTGATGATGCAACAATTTCCCCACTGTGGGACGAATAAAGGATTTCTTCATCTTAAATCTAATGCACATATGAATCACCTGCTGAACTTGTGAAGCCAGCGCAGACGTTCCACCAGGCAGAACAGAGTGGTCAACACTAGGGCCAGACCGGACAGGACGCTGACTGCCTGCCGAGCCTGTAGGGGGAGCCCCAGGACCAGGCTCCACGTGGGGGTCACCACATCCACAGCTACCAGCAGAGACATGGAGGAGGGCAGCCGCAGCAGACACACGTAACCCAGGCCAAAAAACAGCTGCAAGGCCCCGAGGGCTAGCCAAACACTAGGAGATGAGCCGGCTCTGTGGAGGAGCGCCCCCTGCAGGTCCGAGTGCGACACAGCGTAGTAGTTGATCAGGGCTGAGGCCGAGGCCAGCACCATGCCCAGGAGCAGGGTGTAGAACTGGAGCAGGGCCTTCAGGGGGAGCTGCAGGACCACCAGGGACAGCAGGACCACTGAAGAAGGAAACAAGTTTAGACCAGGCCCAGAAAGACAACCAGGGACTAGAAGAGGACGAGAGACGGAGGAGAGAGAGTCCAGAAAGGGAGTCCAGAGAGGTAGACCAGAGAGAGAAGCCTGCAAGAGACACACGTGAGAGAGACCCGAGAGAGAGAGAATGTTTAAAGAGTTCTAAGCAGTACTACACCCATTTTAATAGAGATTCACTGCAGAAATATATAGAAACGCTAGAATGAAGTCTTTTCTCACTAAATTCAGGCCAGAGTTGTCCAACACATTTTGACAGTTTACATCAGGCAGCTCAGGCTCCCCAAATGGTCTTATCCTCAGCCCTTGTTCAAAATGGTATACATATATCTGGTAAAACCCTGGTTTATACATGGTTTGTAGTCCAGCCAAAGTATTATACTGGTTTGACATTTATTTTGTCCACAGAGATAGCAACAAGTTCGGTATAATGTGCCCCCAAACTCAGCTCAAAGTCATGATGTGTCCAATTGTCCACCTTTGAATGATCCAGTATCAATTAATAATGAAATAATAATGATGAAGAATTGGTTTAATACAGCGCTTTTCTGACTTTCAATGTGACTTAATTACCTACTAGTATAGCTATATTAGCCACACTGACAGAAGGAGGCAACCAGTGTGTGCCATTAGCCCCTCCCACCACCACCACCACCACCACCAACCATTCACACACACACCAGACTCATTCTAATGTGGGTGAACTGTCTTGCCTCAGGTCGCAATAACAGTTTGGAACTTTACAGCTAGCCCACTGTGGCAACCAGTATTCCCATAGGTCTCCCATCACCGTACTAAGCAGGTCTTGCAATGCTTAGCTTCAGAAATCAAAGCTTTATAGGTACAGCCTATAAAGCTAGGACACAAAACTTTCAGTACACACAATAGAACTCTGTCATAAACTCATGCCTCTTGGCTCTAAAACAGTTTGCTTCTATGACTCATGTCCATGGGTCCTGGTCCCGATCGTGTCTTTGACCCGGTCTTGGTTTCGGTACTGATCTTGGTTTAGGTGTCACATGCAGGTGGAGCCTATTAAAGCTGGGGTACATGTATGTATTCTTGGCCTGCCATTAGTTAAGATCAGCTGTTTCAGACAGAAAAGTGAAACAGAAAGGACCACGCTCACTCAGCCAATCAGCTCTCAGCCCAAAGAGTCCAATAGTGCCTAAGAGAAAAGATAACATGTTTTCAAAAGAGAAGACAGGATGTTGTGGTTTTGGACCAGACTCTGTTGGACAAACTACATGTGTTATTTAAGAAACAGAAAACTACTTATGCAATTTCTACATCTGTGTGCACAGTGACCTTTAGACACTGTTATCTCTAGTCTACATTAGCCTGTTAGCATTAGCCGCTAGCCATCAGTTTGTTGACAGCTCTCCCCCCCTGCCCCTCTCGTCTGCCCGCCCCACACTCACCCAGAGCCCGCACCAGCAGCACGCCCACAACACCGACCCATCCTGGCCCTGCCTCCCCCGGGAGAGAGGCGCTGAGCACGGCGTCGATCGCGAACACACTGGGCACCCGCAGAGCCACGTTCAGAGCCGCCCCTGCCCGCACCGTGAAGGGGCTATGAGGCGAGGCCATGGGGGCTCAGGGGGGGCCCATGCACCGCAGCGGCCCGGTCCCAGCTCCGGGTCCGAGTCCTACTGTCCTCCGTGTTTGCTCAAGACTTTATGTGGGTCTCAACGTAAGGCGCCGGAGCGAGTTGGGTTCGAATCGCGCTGTCACTGGAGACTAAAGTTGCAGAAATAAAGCAGCGGCTGTAGAGTTTTGTTGTTGTTATGTTTTAGGAGTTTCGGAGGTTTCCATGGTACTCTTGGATGTAGAGACACTTCAGGTGGATTCTCACGCCGCTTCCTGTATCAGAGGCTAAGTTGGAGTGCTTGACGCAACTTCCGCTGAAAGACCGGGGCTGCATCCAAAATCAAAACAGATATCTCCTTTGTCCTGTCTCCTCGGACTGCGTTGACACTTGTTCAGCTTGTCTTATTTTGGAAATTACATTGGAGGACAGATAGCAGGACGGATCAGAACACGAAATGCTGCCCTCATCTCATTAGAAAAGATGTCATCTTTGTGTAAGAGCCCTGTGAGTCACTATTTGACTCTTTGGGCTGAGAGCTTATGGTGGTCCTCTGTCACTTTTCTATCTGAAAAAGCGGATTTAAAGATGTGACAGAGTTATTATTATAGATCCATGGACAGAGGCCAGAAATACATTAAGTGAAAAGCAAAACTAGTGATGGAAGAAAGCTGTTTTAGAGCCAGGAACCAGAGACATGGGGGTGTGGTCGAGTTGTGTGGTCTGAAAGTTACGTACCCCAAATTCTTCAACAAAATGCATTTTTATTTTTTTATTTTATGGTTAAATAAAATGACAAAAGAGGGTTCGTGTCTCAGCGGAAAAACACGACGGGCTTCACATGGTTTATACCAAGTCCAAATACAGAGTCTGCCTCAGCATTGGTAGGTTTTGTACAGCTGTTTCATCAACATGACAAAGGGTTGGTATAACTCAACTGAACTGACGAAAAGTACTGGATTTCAGTCACATGTTTTATGCAATTGTTACTTGTGTCCAGGAGATGGCAGCACAAAGTCAGTTATTACAGTGACTTTTTGAAAGATGAGTTTATTTGAAGTAGTGACGATTCAGGCGTATGCCCTTAATCGGACATATGTCAGACATATCATGTCTGATGAAGGGCCTCAGCCTGAAACGTCACTACGTGGTCTGTAAATAAAAGACACTTGGGAGTAACATTGCTGACGGATGTTTTTTTCACTGTTTTCACGTTTTGCACTTTTTAAATCCAGCACGCTAGTCTAGGCAGCCTCATTTGAAACCTTTTTTGATACTGTCTTATAATTAATGCAGACAAATAAGACAAATCATTGAAATAATCGAAAAAAAAAATAGTAAAACAAAAATGTATAATGTAAAAATAAGTATAATATTTTAAGACATTTCCTTAAGTGTGATTTTTTTATATACTGTGGGTCCCAGTGCTGCATAGACTTTTTGAGTAATAAAGTGATTTTACTTTATTACTCATAAAAAGTAATATTTATAAACTCATATTTATAAAATATGACATAATTGAAAGAGCAGAATAATCTGAATAAATGCAGATTTAACAAAGGTTCGGGGACACTGATCTCTAGTGATAAAATGTTGACGTTTTTGAGTATTTAGAGTGCACAAAATTAGTCAGTAACATTGTGAGATCCAGTGCCTCATTATAGACACGTGTTTCATATGGGTTGTGTAACTTTAATACAGTGCCTTCTTGGACACCCAAAGACGCTTCACATGAAATTATTCTGTCACAACATTGCAAGGTGGTGATAAACTAATACTGTAACCACAGCTGTCCTGGGGCACACACAGAATAATTGACAGAAGTAAAGGCAACCAGTATGTGCCATTGGCCCCTCCCACCACCAACCATTCACCCATTCACACACACACACTGGAGTATGTAACTTTCAGACCACAGCGGTGCGGTAGTATTTGGACTTTATTGATGCGCCGTGGGGAAGAAGAGGCGCGTCGTGTTGTTGTAGATAGTGTTGGCGAGCTCCTCTGGATCCTCTCCTCTCGCTGCAGCCATTACCTCCAGCACCTGACTGAGAACACACAACCATCACCTTCAGGACCTGGTCCAGACCCAGTACTGGCCCAGTCCAGACCCAGTTAGGGTCTAGTTCCGCTGCAGGCCTGGTCCAGTTCTGGTCAAGTCCCAATCTAGTCCTGCTCTAGTCCTGGTTCAGACCCAGTCCAGTCTAGGTTCAGTCTCGGTCCAGTCCTAGTCTCGTACTGGTTTTGTCTTGGTCCAGTCTCAGTCCAGTCTCAGTCCAGTCCTGGTACAGACCCTGTCCAGACCCGGGCCGAGTCTAGTCCTAGTCCAGTCCTTACACTATGTGGCAGGGCTCGTTGCGGTCTTTCAGACAGTGGCCTTGTTCCCATTTCTTCTTTGTGGGGAAAGTTGTTGAGATGAGTTTTGCTCCGGCGTGCGTCGGCTTCACTCCGCACCAGGGGGCGTCTGCAAACACAGAAGTTCAAACGCCATCGCTCTGAACCTCCCCGCAGGACGCTCTGAATTTGAGACTCACAAACAGCAGAAACAGACATTTTGTTTGGCTTTTCACTTTGTTGTGATGACAATTCAGAAGTCTTATATCTGACGTCAGTGATCGACTGTAAACAGACGGACAATGCTAACCTGCTGGCTCAATGAAGCCCAAAAAAGGAAGTGCTCATGGTGAAGTTTGGCTCCATCTCTCTCTGGCTCCTATTGACCTACATGTAAAAGTAAACTCCTCTAGCTCAGTGACCGTTTGTGTTACATTCACCATTTTAGGCTTAAAGGAGCATTATGTAAAAATCTGGCCAAAAGTGGTACTGCAGTCATAGTCAATATTTTGTAGTCCTCTCCCACTCTCCCTGACTCAGGTTGCCAGATACACACCAAATCCAGCAGCAAAATAAGATAAGAATAAACTAAAATAAAATAAACTTTGGGCTATAATTGCACTTGGTTCAGATGGATATGTAATAAATGGGATGGACATGGTCAGAAACAATACTCAGGTGGGCTGTGGCGTGGCAACGATGATCAATCGGTACTAAGGGACTCAAAGAGTGACAAGAAAATATCCCCCACACCATTACACCACCACCACCACCAGCCTGAACCGTTGATACAAGGCAGGATGGATCCATGCTTTCATGTTGTTGACTCCCAATTCTGACCCTATCATCCGAATGACGCAGCAGAAATCGAGACTCATCAGACCAGGAAAATATTTGAATATTTGAACTGCAGCAGATCGTCTTGACCAGGTCTACATGCCTACATGCATTGAGTTTCTGCCATGTGATTGGCTGATTAGGAATTTGCATTAAAGTGGAGTTGGATTGGTGCCCTAATAAAGTGGCCGGTGAGTGTATATGAGCCATTTAAGCAGTGGTCCCCAAACTACGGCCCGTGGGCCAGACCCAGCCCGCCTCTTCATTTGCTCGAGTCCCCTGAACAATAGAGAGTATCTTCCTCTATGGGCTTGTTCACACTAAAGGGCAGAAAAATGTGACAAAAGGCCAAAAAATTGATTTTTATAATCTGAAGATATTTTATGTTTTTCATGTATCCATATCCCTCCTCTGTCCATTAGAAGTTGCTAGAACATAACTGTTTACAAGTTTCCTATAGCAGTCCTGTTTATTTTATGTAACGGACGTGATGATTTGACGGAATGAGCAAACGGCGATGTCTACAAGCTATTGGAACCTACAAAAAGATTATAAGGAAGGAACACAAGAACTTTGAGAGCCTGCTCATATGAGCCATTTAAGTAAGAGATTCTGCTCTGACAACTAAGCTGAACTTGGACCTGTTAAGATTGTGCACGACACAACAGAAAGTTTATGTTCCATGGCCTTTTTTATGTGAAGAACCCAGAGAGGGTTTTTTGGTTATTATTTATTTCATAAATAGTGTTGTTATTTATATCCTGACTTTTGTTCTGTGAAGAACTCAGAGAGGGTTATTTGATTGTGCTTTCTGGAAAACAATACATTTTTACGTTTAGGCACTCTTGCAATCATCACACTTTTTCTGTTACAAACTGACCTGGCCCCCATCGAAAACTTCTGGTTGACGAAGTGGTGGTCAGTCCAGCAAGAGTTGCTGCTGATATGTGAAGAAAATGCAACTCTTCCAAGTATTTTTTTGCTTTTTTGGATATTTCATGACACTTTGAAGCTACTGTGGTGAACGTTCTAACTCATAATTCAAACAATATGCACAAGGCAGAATTTTTCCACTACATGTTTTGGTAATATCAAGGTTGAAGCTACTGGACCGTGGCAAATGCTAACATGCTAATAATGCTAATAAGTCTCCATTCCTCCGCTGTATGTCACTAACATTCTGTAACGTCTTTGTTTATGCTGCCTCTACCATCGACAATAAAAACATGTCTTCTGTCTGAATTAAAGACAAGATCCTAAACTGTCATTTTCTTCACTTTAGATTCTAATCCACAGCTAGTGTTACAGTCAAGCTTCTGCACTGCTAAACAAATGAAGGTTTGGAAAAACATGGATGCTGCAACTTTTCCGTCTGTCTGTGGGTTAAGGAGCGCAGAGTTAAGGTCCTGAAGGACACATCCTGCATCGTACAGAGCCGTGTAAGTAAAGATTGGTATGAACTTGTTATTCGCAACAAAACAATGCGTCTGTGGCTGTGTTCTTTTCAGGTCAAACATTCAGTGTTTATTTAAAACGCCGACTCATACCTGACAATTAAAAAAAGATGAGGATGTATTAACTGCACATTGTGACTGCATGGCTGGGTAAATAAATAATCCTTCGATGTAAAAGCGTTTGCTAGTGAAATGTTAGCGAGCCACTTTTCCTGCGTCTCTTCGTAAAGTCCTTAGTGCGAGGCCCTTTATTAATCTCTTCACGAGGAACCCTAAAGTTTCCACTAAAGGTTTTGCGATTCGATCGCTTAGAACAAACTAAAACAACACACGCAAAAGGCATATTCAGACACGCTGCTCTAGTGAAGAACTAGCTCGGCTGACCACCACTTCGTGATACGCATATGTAATGAGGCGGACGTGACGTCAATTGTAAGCAAGCAATAGGCAGTACAGGCAGAAAGCATTTTTTTCCCTACAGCCTTGCTTCTCCATATACTGAAGATATTATTTCAACATGAAATTAAAAGCCAATAATGTCTTTTTTCTGATCAATTCATTTAAAAATAATTTTGTCTTCTTTAAAAAAAAATAAGGAATGTTCCCAAGTCTTAAAATAAATTAGTCTTTTTTTTCTGTAGTTGTATGAAAGGCCGAGGCGGCTTTCATTATACGAGCCAATTATATATGATATTTTGCTCGTATAATTGTGGCCTAAGAACACAGTATCGGTTACCAATCGGTAACAATTCTTTTTTTTCTGTCCCTATCAAATAAACAAATTATAAAAATAATAAAAGACAAGGAGAGGACCAGTGTGTTTTAATGAACAGCATGTTCTACAGTACGTGTTGTAGATGCACCAGATTATTCCGACATGGACTTAAATCTCAGCTGTGGTTATTATTGTGTATTTGCCTTTTAGATTACAATATTCCCACTCTGGCAAAATTATAAACTGTGTTTCCATTGAGGATCAAATTTCAAAACGTCTAATGGAAACACACAAACTTTGAATAAATCCCAGTTTGTGATGAGGATCCTCTTCTGTTTCTTTGTTTTTAAATCTGACTTGTGTCTATTATATTCTATATTATATCTATTATGTGATCCTGGTCAGTGAAAGGCGCTAACCCCAAACCAAATCAAACCGGTTGAAAGATTTTTTAAATTCGTCCGCCCGGCGCTAGTCTCCATCCGCTGTCCCTCTGGCACTCTGTCCGAGTGAATTGTAAACAATGCGCTGGGGGACCTAACTTCAAAGCTGGGAAACAAAACTTTCAGACCACACACAGAACTCTAATACATCCATGTCTCTAGTTTCTAGCTCTAAAACAGTTTACTTCTATCAATACTTTTTTCACATGATGTATTTCTGGCCTCTGTCACATATTTTGATCAGCTTTTTCACACCGAAAAAGGAAGGACCACCCTCACTCAGCCAATCAGCTCTCTGCCCAAATAGTCAAATAGTGACTCACAGGGCTCTTTCTTACACAAATAACATGACACAACATAACATGTTTTCTAATGAGAGGAAGACTGAATGTTGTGTCTGATTTGTTTTAAGACTCTTTCTGTTTACGGGGCCCTACAGCAAAAACTGATTACCCCCTTCGCTTCATGCAAGGGGTGCACCCGCCAGGTTCATGCATTCTTTCATGTTTCACGCCCCCTGCCTCATCTGAATCCACACTGCTACAACAGACACTTATTCTTTCTATCAAAATTCTTCCATACAACGTTTCCAGCCACACTCAACAGACTTACCCCTCTATAATTCCCCACGTTCAAACTTACCACCTTATAAAGTGGTTGAATACACGCCTCACACCATTCCCTCAGAGCTACACCGTTCATAAAACACACATCAGACAATCTCACTAACCACTCAATCACCTTCACACATAATAAGCAGCACATCCATTCATCTGTTGTTCAAACTACATGTATTATTTATAAGACTGAAGTTACAGACCCCAGCTTTAAACATGTGTTATTTATGAGACTAAAGTTACGTTCCCCAGCTTAAACAAAGATATCTAAAGTGCCTGTGCTCACCCGTCTCGATCAGTAGCCTCTCGCTGGGGACAGACTTCATGGCTTCGATGTTGGATTCTGTTTTTAATGAACTGTAAATAAAAGAACACAAGTTTGACACGAGAGAAAAGATCAGCGCCATCACTGCAGAGACGCACCAGCCGTTTATGCCGATGTACAGGTCCAGATCTGTGAGCGCAACAGCGTCCTCTGGTGTCCCATCAAAGGAGTGCACCTAAGGGGACAATAGCTTCAGACACATCGCCCCCCCGATGGTCAAACACAGGTCATTTCTCTGCTCTAATGATAATGAGGTTTAGAAACTCCTCTCCTGACCCTGATCAGAAGTGTCCATCTCCATCCTCCATATGGACTCACTCTTGACTTACTCTGGATTTATTCTTGTCTCTCATCAGTTAATAACTACAGATTTTAGATTTTCTGTCCCACAGAGAATTGACTCTGATCCTGTGTCTCTTCACTCTTCATCTGGAGTCTTATTAGACTCCTCAGAGCGACTCTTTATCATTAGAAAATAAAAAAAAACACATTTAAGTGACTTCACACAACGTCAATGACATCTGTGGTTGGTGTGGAACTTTGCCTTTAAGCTGCAGTATAGTAAGAATACTATAGTATAGTATAGTACAGTATAGTATGGTATACTTAAACTTTAAGTTACACTTTATTGTCCCTGTGCTTCCTCCTGAAAATGTGAGGCAGACTTCTTCTCTACCCAATGCAGGTTGGTCTAAGGACAGGGGTGATGGTTCAGGACAAACAACATTCGTGGACGTTGGTCATCTGCCCCTTATGGACCAATGGCTCTATGTGTTTTTATCATTGCATTTATTGTGTTTGAACAGAAGATTCTTGAATTTCACGGTTTTGTAAAGTCCTCCGAGGTAACTGCTGTTGTGATTTAGGGCTATACAAAAGTAGATGTAATGGAATTGGATTCTACTCTGACAAGGTTCATATCCAGGCTAAAGACAGTTTGATTATATCTTCACTCTTTTTAATGTCTGTGAATATGAATTATTTTTGCCTTGTGTGATTTAAATGTTTATTTTGTTTTAACACTACTTTTAGTTGTGTATGAACTGTGCTATAAAAAATAAACCCAGGTGCCAACCACTCAAAAATGTACAAATGTACAAACCACTCCTCCGACACAGCGCTCTCTGTTCCTCTTCATAATCTCTGTAGAACAAACACAATTTATGTAAAACCTGAAAACGTTTGTTTTCAGGTCTTCACACTGACCGATGAAGTCCTGGTGAGAGTTTCTGCAGTGAAGGAACATGGGCAGCCGCGTGTCTTCAGCCAAGTCAAACTGCTTCTGGAAAAATCTGCAAAGAACAAAACCCCTATGATCTTGTCTGAGTCTGAGTCTGTGCAGAACTAAAGCTGCAGGACTCACTTCAGCTGCGTCTCCTTTGGGCAAAACTCAAGACGATCAAAATCTGAAAAATGGGGATAAAAAACTTTTAAGACTTGTGTAGTCTGTTTTTAACCCATTCCCTTCATTTTATTGGATTTTTTTATTTGAAGTATTGTTCCCCATTTTCTCACAAATCTTTTAAAAGTCCTGTTTGATGTACCATAGTTCAAAGTCTTTGAGAACCATTGCTCTGATGACCCCCGTTTCACATACACACTATGCTTTAAGCAATTAGCAAAACACAAACACATCTTTGATGAAAGCGTTTTGCAAATATCTAAATAAAGTTTACACACCCAGAAAGAAATATCATGTTCTGTCCATATTTCAGAGATTATGAAGGAAACACAAAAGCCGCGTTTCTACGGCAGGAACTTCTGGGTAATTTTCCAGGGCCAGCCTCGTCGGTGTGTGTCTCCACTGAAGGAACTTTCCCAACAGGGCCATTTACAAGAACTTTTATGGGGCCCAACGGAGTCCCTAGCATGGAGGAGGGACTCTGTTGGGCCCTGGTGGGACTTGAGGTTAACCTGGCCCTGATTGGCTAAAGCTAGCGCAGGCTCTGACGCCAGCAGAAAGCACCAAAACAACCGCCATTAACAGCATTAGCCCAGCACTGGAAACAGCGAACAACAGCACGGCATTCAGACGGGGTTTGAGGCATTGCGTCGAAATGAAAAGATATATAAAGACATATCAGCTTCACCTCAAAGCACTGGGGATTCATCACACTCTAAAACAAGCCGTGAAAAGTTTTAAAATGCAGAAGCCAGTACTTTTCCACTGCATGTTTTGGTTATATCAAGGTTGAAGCTGCTGGCACCGTGGCAGCTGCTGATTGGAGGACTTCATTCCTCCGTGCTGTTTAATACACTTGCATTCTATAACGTTCGTGCGTCTACCATCAACAATAAAACATGTCTTCTGTCTGAATTAAAGAAACGATCCCAGACTTTGTCATCTTCTTCAGTTGTATAGATAAAACACCATGTATTGTTGTGTGTGAGGCCGTACCCAGGCCGCACTCGCCCACTGCCACCACTTTTTCATGGGTTGCCAGGTTCTTCAGTTGGGACAGATATTCCTCTTCTCCGGCCGTCTCAAACTCTGAGCAGCGTGTGGGATGGCAGCCCACTGTGCAGAAGAACTCGTCTGCGGAGACACACATTCCAGTGACACGTAACACGCAATAAACTGGAAAAGACACACGTTTAGAAATCCTCATCTGGTTTGGGCTCATTTTTACCATTTCACTATTTGTTTGACCCATTTTACTCAAAATATCAATAGGGCTGTGATAACATTAATTTTTATAATTGATTAATTGGACCAAAGCAAAGCTAAAGCAATGCCACTCAAGAACGTCTTCATAGTTAAGTAAGGACAGGGGGTCAAACTGGTTCTGGATTCAGGTGTTCTCCTACTTGTGGGAGTAAAAATACTGGCCCTTTCTGGAACCAATTTGACACCCCATCGAAGGGAAATGTGTCCTCTGCATGGAATGAATGAATGAATGTTATGTCATTGTGTGGTAATCTGTCTGACTCATAAAACCTTTTCTGATTAAAGGGACAGTATGTAAATGCACTCTTTGTGATCTCATAACGACAAATCACAAATGCAGAGGACACATTACCTACGGAGGTCATGAAGTGTATCTTCACCTTATCACTTTGAATCACAGATGAAACTGAGAAAATTGGAACCACTGTGCATGTTATGAATATTTATTGTTTATAAATATATATATATAATACATGATATTGTAACATCATTATGTAAGATTAGGTCCTGGTATAATTTACTTTCCTGTCTGTAAATGACACTGTTAATAATAACCATACTGATTCTTAACATTTTATCAAAGCAGTAAGAGTTGATGACATTTCAATAGATGGCCCAGTGTCCGACTTGGGTCATCAATTACAAGGCACAATAGTTCAGGTAAAAGCTGCTTTCCCTGCTGGCTGTAGCTCTAGCAGAAGTCCCTGAAGTTACTGACAAATCAATGAACATGGTTACAGGTAGATATGACGCCCACAGCTCACACAAGTTTGGGGTCTCTCTCTCTCTCTCTCTCTACGGCTCTACTCTGCTCAGACAGAGAGAGCAGCGGTCCAAAAGGCCAATAATGATAAGAAAGCTGAGTTGTGAAGCCCACCTCTGGTCTGAGCGAGCTCCAGCGCCAATCTGCTGTCGTCCACACTTCCTCCAGTGATTAAGAACTGAAACACAACACTATCAGCTTCAGGGCCTCATCAGGGACTCAGGTACATCATGTATGAGAACCATGACCCAAAACAATACAACGGAACGAAAGGATTGGAACTTATGGTTCTGCCACTATAGTTCTACAATCACGACTACTACTGCTGCTACTACCAGCTATTACAAGTACTGCGACTGCTACTTATTGCTCCGTGGTATGTCTACAACTGGCCAGATAGTCTTTCATTTTGGTCACTGATCACATTTGTGGCCGACAGACTTAACTGCAGTTCTATTAAAGGATTTGCACAGTCTGATATACTTCTATTATCCATATAAATTAAACAGCCTGTTGTAATTCATAATCCTGCTTTTATGCCTTAGTAGTTGGCATGAGTATGGAACGTAATCAGGACACATTGTGCTTTTGTAAAATTGTGAATTAATAAGTTTATAAGTTTACTGCGTTCTCACTTTTTCCACTCCCACGTTGAGCGCTCTGTCGATGACGGCATCAAAATCATCTGTAAAATCAGGGTTTAAAAAGTTAATTGATTTCAAGACACGTTTGTCAAAAATAATTTGTATTCTAATGCTTTCTCACCGTCGTGTTTCTGTTTCCCTCTGTACGAACCTCTGAACATGGGATCCGTCAAATTTACACCGATATCTAAACAAACAAAAAAAAACCGGTTACAACTACAACTGCTACTACTTCTACATACACATATGCAATGTTATATTTATGACAATACTGAGTTAATCAAAAAAGAAATGAATCACAGGAGCTTTTTAAGTTGCGTAGTAATTATCCTGGAAGGGTACACAAAGAGCATGATCTTAATGAAAACCGAACAAAACTGCTTTGTACTTTAACAAACAAAGTTGAGGACCTTTCCACCACTTTATTTTTAATTAAACGTGGTCTTTTAATTTGCTCTGACAGCGCTCACTGCTGCTGTGTTGTCATGTTAGCATGTAGCCTCCGTGCTAACTCAACAAACCCGGCTTTTCTGAATCAACTCAGCCTTTTGTCACGCTTTACCACAGCGACTGAGAGTGTACTTGGTTTATCTACATTTTGATAACCATTTAATACCGATGAACTTGAGCTGAGCCATGACGGAGGCAGAAAAGTGTCTTAAAACAGTCACTGCTCGCATCGACACCGTGGACGGCAATTTACCGTAATGTCAGTAATTGAAAGAAAATACTTGAAATAAAAATGAATTAAACTGACTAAACACAGGCGTATCTACAATTTAATAGATCTACAGATACAATTAAATTACAGTTGAACAGAAACATTATAGAAATAAAGCTTAAATAAGTTTAAAGAGAATGTATTTGCGTGTTTACAATAAACGGAGATATCTGTGTGAAGGACTAGAACGAGCGCGAGTTCAGTTTTTATGGCGGCCATTTTGGGTTTCCAGATGAACAAAATCCCCACAGATCCATGGTAAAAACTAGCCTGGTCCTACCACATCACCGTACATATTTAATTTAGGAGTTATCATGGGCAAAAATGTATATTGTTGTTAATCAATAAAGTTCTATCCGTTTTTCTTTCTGAATTATGATTATAATGTATATTCAGTTGAGTTTGTCTCTACTATCTACTGTGATGTCATGTTTTGAGTGCTTATTTTACCTGTCTTAAAACCCTGCACTGTTCAATATTTTCCACAATGGACCCATAGTATTTCTGAAAGTGATCATTAAAAGTGCGACCCCTACTTGTGTTGCACAAAACGTATTACAACAAAACTTACATGCTCTGCCAGATGACCACGGATAAAGCATCCTTTTTCCTACATGCTTTATCCGTGGCCAAATCTGAGATCCAGCTCATATATAATAAACCAGAATAATGTCAGGGGAGCGAGAGGCACACTTTTATTTAAAGACAGAGTTTGTGGAATATGTGGAAACTGCATAAGTGGAAGCATTTAGAAACATACAGGTTATGACAGGATCACGCTTAACTGATGATGTTTCAGATTTGAATTCTGAATATGTCCAATAAACCGAGAGAACTGGGGAACAACTGAAAAGATAGAATTGCACATAACCGTGTTTTAGTTCAAAACAAGAATCATTCTAGACTAGACATACGCTTATTGTTGAGCACTGGGCGCGCTCTAGAGCTCTCAGCAGGCAGCCCTGCAGAGGTGACAGCGGACTCCAAGATGGCGGCCGCCTTCCTCACTCACCAACAGAAAGTCCTGCGCCTTTATAAGAAATCCCTGAGACACCTGGAATCCTGGTGCATCTTCAGGTGAGGGGCCGAGGGGGGACCGGGGCAGGACCGAGGGGGGACTGGTTTGTCTGGGACGAAAGGTGGGAGTACCCTGGAGTCCTTGGTCGTTTGTGGTGTTAGCGCTGCGGCTAAGTTAAAGCTGCACTAACTGACTTTATTTTTGTATTCATTACGAAAATGCTATCCATGTCCATGTAGTGCATTGGGATATACATCGTTTTGAAGAAAAAGTAGCGCAGATTTGTGCTGGCGTGACATTATATTTTAGATCGAGTTTTGATGAAACAAGGAAGAGAATGTGTTTCGGGTCGCAGATTGTGACCAATACATAGTTCCCACAGACCAATGAATGTCACATGACCTCCTCGGAGACGCCATCTTTGATGGCACGCTGCTGTGTTTGTGCATTCCATTAAACAGAAGAATGAGAATAAATGTAGATATTCAAACGCAAATTGGAAAAAAAGGGCAACTTTTGAGCAAATAATTGTATATTAATACAATGGCACCACAGTTTAACGTGCTACGGACATGTTTTACATATTTGATCAAATTATGCAGCAAAAATTAACAAGCAATGCAAACATTTCTCAAAAACTTTAGATTTAATACCAGTTGGAGCTCCATTTAATTATTTTAATTATATTAACAATTCATTTAATTAATGCTAATGCCACACGGACACTCTGGATTGCTGTTATTGTTTATTTCCGCGTTTTTGACCGTATGTTTTGGTGAATGGTGGGCAACTGATTTTTCCAGGCGTAAAGAGCAGTTTATTTTATGACACAGATCTTTTTACAGAAGCAATGCTGTTTGTTAACATTGTTTTAGCCCACCATAGAACTATTATTATCTATTTAATACATTTACGTTGCCCTCGAGAGCCTCGGACGCGACACCGATCCTCCTCATAATAAAGTAATCTAAATAATGAAACTCTCAAGTTACCAGATATCAGCATACACAAGTTAGTACTGAGTAAATTACGTCTGTCAACACATTATAAGATACGATACGCACCTGACACAAAGTGCTCCGAGCATATTCTTGCGTGTTTTGAGGGAGTTTCTTGCCTGTTTATCTTCGCAAGCCATAACCTCCGTGGTTGTTCTGACAAAAGCTTAGTCTTCTCACATTCATGAAGTCTAATGATGGGTATACTGTAAAATCCAAGTTTAACGGAACCTCCGGCACGATTTGAACATCCATTGACCCAGCAGGAGATGACCATTTTCAACTTTATCACGACATTAACACGTTTCAGCTTCTTTTTCTATTGTTTTGCCCACAGAATGCCAAGACAAATGGCGCCGGGTCGGCAAATCCCCGTATGTAGTGACGTCATGTGGGAACTATGTATAGCAGCGCACCACTAGCCCCCACTTTCGTGAGAAATCTACAGGTCTGTTAGCATAGACGGCTGAGTTAGCACAACCAGCCGAGGAGCTAACCTGAAACTTTGTGTGTCTTCGTCACCGGTTACTGCTTACACAGCGAGACAGCCATCCAAAAGAAAGTCCCGTTCCTCCGCGCTTCCCTGTTCTATCGTTCTATGGTCACGCCATCCACGTGCTAATCCATATCCATGGTTTATCCATATTGGGATACGCTAACTCCGTCCCAACAGTGGGTGTGTGTGGGGGGCGATAGCTTCGTGGGTGCGGGGAGGGGAGCAGAAAGAGAGAGGCCAGCGAGTCTGCGGCTTCAAAATCCCAAAGTCAGTTAGTGCAGCTTTAAGGGCTAATAGTTCATGGCTAGCTGCTCACTGACAGCTCACTACATATAAACCCACGGTTTTCTCCTATTTATAATTGACCAGTGAAAATGTTGTGTCCCTATATTAAACAACCCCTGTTAAAGCTGTGGTCAGTAAGAATTAAAGAAAGAGAGTTCTTTTCGGACTGTAATCCAGTTACTTCTCTTGAAGCTCCAATACTTTATTATCTCACATTATGATGGAAAACTAAAATAGCGTTAATTTATCTTTGTATGGTTTTATAATTATGGAATTATGTCCAACGTATCCTGACTGTGAAGGGGCTTGCATACTGTAGCTTCCATCAATGTTGTGTCAATTCATCATGTGTATTTTCAATACATTAGTACATGTTTGAAAAGTATTTTGAATATCTCTTTAAATGTATCATAAAGAATCCTATTTATATACAATTTGATCAGATATGTGCTTCTTTGTGCAACACTTTGAGTACTATTTACAATTCGAAATATGGAATATTTTGTGTTGTATTTCTAACAACACAACAGTGTTATTTTTACACAAAAAGGCGATGGCAGAGGCTCACAATGGCATCCAACCATTATAGCTGTATATTCTATATTGATATTAGCCCTTTCTTTATTGCTAAACAATCTGGACCACCACTGCACCCTCCCCTAACCTCCTGCCCATCTACTGTAACAATAATTGCAATTTATTTTTTGTTATTATTATGATAAATAATATTAATATTTCAAAGAAAGATGGTCCATATACATTAATAAATACAGGACACGAACAAAAAATAGATATCAGACTCTATCTCAGGCATGTCCAAACCTCAGGACCTTTAGAATTCTGTTCACTTTTAATGTATGCTGACATGTGTTTTTGACTGTCACAAAATGAGGCGCTAATGTCACTGGTGAGATGGTACACATTTGTCATTGAAGCTGGAGTTGGCTGAATCAATATGGACATGTCACTCTCCAAGTTCAGAACAGGTCAAATCCAGTTAAGACAGTTTCCCCATCTGCCCTATTACTAAAAAGTTTGGACCCCCCTGCTGTATCGGCCCAGACGTCAGTCACATGAATTTACAGCTGGATCAGAGTCATGATAATCCTATTCTTTAAGTCTTTCCTGTGCTTCTCCAGAAAACACCTATGTCCGCAGTGTGATATAATGAAGCCTTTATGTTCTGGTGTATTTCAGGGATAAGTACAGATTCTACGCCTGCCTGCTGCGCTCTCGCTTCGATGAGAACAAGGAGGAGAAGGACCTGGTGAAGGCAACGATGCTGCTGAAGGCTGGAGAGGAGGAGTTCTGGACCAATCAGCATCCACAGCCGTATCTGTTCCCCGATTCACCGGGCGGGACGTCCTATGAGAGATACGAGTGCTACAAGGTCAGTGCGAGAGGAAAGGCTTTTTATAATACCTCAAAAAACCTGATGTGCTGAGACATCAGGTTTGAAGCTAGTATAAATGTGTGTGATGATTCCTATAGGTTCCTGAGTGGGTGCTGGATCACTGGCATCCGTCGGAAAAGGCCATGTACCCAGATTACTTCTCCAAACGAGAGCAGTGGAAGCAGCTGCGCCTGCAGAGCTGGGACCGAGAGGTACACTCGAACACAAAGACACACACAAACGGACATGTCACACACAGAAAGAAGACACACACAAAATTAAGAACATACTAACTCTTGAATCAAGGAATTTCATACAGAAAACCTGTGTTTACAGAGATTATTATATACAGAGTTATTTTAAAACATGCATTCTGTTTCTCTGGTGGTTGAACAGGTGTTTCCTCTGATCCGTGTTTAGACTTCTTTTATTTAAGCAGCATTACACAGCTTTAGCCTCATGAGTCCCAACTGGTGTTACACAGACCCCCAGTGGTATGCAGGGGTATTACAGAGGGTAGTTTAAATTATTTTTAGAAAACTTGCAAACTTTGATAGTTTGAGAGTAATATGGTTGACCATGGCATGTTATACAGCACAGACCAAAAGTTTGGAAACACCTTCTCATTCAAAGAGTGGTTTTTTAATTTCCATGATGATGAAAATTGTAGATTCACACCGAAGGCATCAAAACTGTGAATTAACTCATGTGGAATTAAGTACGTAATAAAAAAGAAAAAGTATGAAAATGTCATATATTCTAGGTTCTTCAAAGTAGGACCTTTTGCTCTGATTACTGTTTCGCACACTCTTTGCATTCTCTTGATGAGCTTCAAGTGACCTGAAATGGTCTTCCAACAGTCTTGAAGGAGTTCCCAGAGATGCTTAGCACTTGTTGGCCCCTTCGCCTTCACTCTGTGGTCCAGCTCACCCCAAAACCATTTGGATTGGGTTCAGGTCCGGTGATTGTTAAGGCCAGGTCATCTGGCCCAGCACCATCACTCTCCTTGTTGGTCAATCAGCCCTTACACAGCCTGGGTGTGAATCTACAGTCAATAGTCATGAAAAGAAAGGACACTCAATGAATGAAGTGTCTCCAAACGTTTGTGTCTGTACTGTATTCTATCAAGAAAACAACCACATCATGTATTCTACTCACATCATGTACTCGACACAATTCATAAAAACTGGTCATGCGGTAACAGCCTTTCTTACTTTTGGACCAGTTTTGATTCACGCATGAACTTGTTTTGTTCAGAAAATCTCAAACTAAAAAAAGTTATATTAACAAATGATCAAAGACGCAAACAGTGAAGCCCAAAAAATTTGGGCTTCACTGTTTCATTTTTCAATTCAAATTTATTTTTTGTTCCAAATCACACCAGTAATTATTTTACTTGCTTACTTACACACCCCAGCTTTGCGTAGCCCTTCTGCTATGTTAAACTCTTTCTCTGTTTCTCTGTGTGCGCGTGTTTGTGCGCGTGCGTGTGTTTGTGTGCGCGCACTCACTCAGGTGGCTCAGTTGGAGGCTGAGACTCCGCTCGGCGGCCCCAAAACCGAGGCTCTTCCTCCAGCCCGAGTTGAGGGAGACCTGCCCCCTCTATGGTGGCAGTTTGTGAGCAGACCCAGGGAGAGGCCCACATAGACGTCTGCAGCGCACCCCGGGAGGCCGTCTCTACAGAGGAACCTTCTGTGGATTATGTACAATTACAACTCTGTCAATAAATGTATTATAAAAATCCTGGGGCATTGTGTTTATGGAAGACATTTAAAGTGCTGTCAGTTTAACGCATCAACAGCGTTAGAGAAACTAGTGACAAGTATCTGAATCCAGCACCACGGTCCACACTTTGCTGTCACACTAGAGTTGTTTCCACTGCGGTGATCGTCACATGCACTGTAAAAAAATCTGTGGCTGTATTCTTAAAGATTCTTAATGCTAAGAGTTGCTCCTAGCGGCCAAATTCTAACAATATTCCTGAAGAATCCTCGCACTTTAAAGAGCTCCTAAGGTGAGATGTCTAAAGAGTAGAGGACTTTTCGCGACTTAAGGAGTTCCCTAACTACAGAATGGCGGTCAGAAGAGGCAGGAGAGATATTCTACAAACGCTGGGTGACTGAATTCGTGAAACGCCAGATTGGATCGTGCAGGATTCATGTTTGTGGTTGATGCCATTAGAAATGCACATACCACCGCTTCTCACAATCCTCACTTATATAATGTTTATTTATTATCCGCATAACCAGTGGAAAGGAGGCATTTACCTCTTGTGCTACAGTTTCCCATGCTTGCTTTTTGGTTTGCACTGTGGGGCCAAATTTCCTCTCAAAACACTTATATGCTCATTGACCAATTTAGCCAGAAGCAAACACTGTTCCTCTGTCCAGTTGGGTTTCCTCTTTCTTTTATTCTCCATTGCCGTTCACTTGTTTGTGGAAAGTCAACCAACACGGGTTCTTCTAGACTAGCCAGCAATCACAGCAGTGCCATTTTACCCTCATTACACCAAAGTGAGTAGAAATGGTACAATTGGAAAGAGAAAAAATGACCGGCATGAAAATGTATATAGGCAAGTTGATATAACAATTACTGTGTTAATAGGGCAAGTTTTTGCATATTCTGTATGATGATTAAAAAATATAACTTACTATTCATATTTATTTAATATTGATATATCTTTTATGCTGAACGTTATTTTAAAAGTCAGTTCTATACACTGTAAAAAACAAAAGCGAAGATTGAGTCTATATCAGACAATTCAAATACTGTCTTCTTGGAAGGGATTGGGTAAAAATAAGCTTTTTACTTCAACCAATCCCATTTCAAACCAAATAAAGACATTTAGAACAGGAAAAAACGTGTGATTCATTGCTATCAATCTCGAGTTAACTTTGGCATTACTGCGACTAATTAAATGCTTTAATAGTTTGACAACACTAGTTTAGTTTTAGTAAATAACATGTAGTTTGTCCACCAGAAAGAGTACAAATCAAATAATTAAATGTACAATCAACAACACACGGTCAAATTTTTTTTAGAAGACTTAACTTTTGTGTCTGGAAAAAACTGGTCTAAAGATGTGACAGAAATACAAGATGTGGAAACTAGTGATAGAGCCAGTAACTCGAGACATGGGTTTTACTTTTGAAACATTTTTGTGATTTTGTAAAATGACGTACCCTTGCCCCTGGACACAGAACAGCAGGTGGGGGACAGGAGGGTCCTGGACAAACTAACATCTAAGCTGGACCAGGACTGTCCCCCCTGCAGGACACTCTCTCTGCTCTGGAGAGTAGCTTTAGTGACAGACTTATTCAACCTTGCTGTGTGAAGGAGCGGTCTCCCTGCTGCTGTCAGACTGTACAACAATAACTGCTGAGTCTGTACAAGTGCCACTCACCTGTTGATAATAATTCATTAGTCACTTCACCTGCTGTTGTTTTTACTGCATTATCAAGGCGAGGCAAGGCAAGTTTATTTATATAGCACAATTCATACACAAGGCAATTCAAAGTGCTGAACAGAACAAGAAAGGATTAAAAACATAAATAATCACAGTACATTAAAAAAAGATAAAAATATAAAATCCCTCAGTTGTATGCACAGCTAAACAGAACTGTTTTCAACCTTGTCTTAAACATTGTCAGAGAGGAGGCCTGTCTCACATCTTCAGGAAGACTGTTCCAGATTTTAGCAGCATGAATCTGAAAAGCAGCCTCCCCATGTTTAGTTCTGACTCGGGGCACTAACAGGAGTCCAGTCCCTGTGCTCCTCAGAGTCCGGGCTGGTTCATATGGGACTAACATGTCACTAATATAGTTTGGTGCGAGGCCATGGAGCGATTTGTACACAAGCAGAGCTGTTTTAAAGTCTATTCTCTGAGCCACAGGAAGCCAGTGCAGAGACCTGAGGACCGGACTAATGTGGTCGTACTTCCTGGTTCTAGTCAGGACTCGAGCTGCTGCATTTTGAATGTACTGCAGCTGTTTTACAGCCTGTTTGGACAGACCTGTGAGCAGGCCATTGCACATATCACATATCCTTTCATCTGATATTTCTGTCATTCATAGTCACTTTATCTTCTGCTATTACTATTGTTTATTCGAGTCATATTCTCTGCTGCTACAGCATCATATATACATCTGTAAATACCTCTGAACCAAGTGATATTATAGTTCTATAGAGTTTTATTGTATTATATTGCATTATCTATTACTTGTGTTTTAATTATTTAAATTTGATTATCTATTATCTTAAATAATATATCCTGGGTGTGTGCAATCTGAGTGCTGTAATGTGTGCTGACACTGAAATTTCCCCACTATGGGACGAATAAAGGATTATCTTATCTAAATCATAAACACAGGTTCACAGTGTCATACAGCCAACTTCAGCTCTACCAATAAAGGCATGTTCTACGTCCTCGAGAAGCTCAGACCCTCTGGAATCCAGTCTGGTTAGGATTAGAGTTATATGTATGGACAGACCCTTTTTTATGTGTCAAAATTCCATATTTTGGCGCTAATGGAACTGTGAGATTTCATAACACTTTTAAGCAACTTTTGTTAAAGTTAAACTCATCATTCTATCAATGTGCAGAAGCCAGTACTTTTCCCTTGTTTTGTCTATCTGAAGGCCAAGCTACATGGCACCGTGGAAGCTGCTGATTGGAGGTCTCCATGCCTCCGCTCTGTATAATACACTTACATTCTGTTAGCTTTGTTCGTGCTGTCTCTACCATCGACAATAAAACATGTCTTCTGTCGGAATGTAAGACGCGATCCCAGACATCTTCTTCCGAACTGGTGATATAGTTAACACTAGTAAACTTCATTTCTGTCAAATGTGAATCGATCCAAACCAATCCACTTCATATACAGGTATATATAGCGCATTTCATAAACAGTTTCCAAAGTGTTGCACAATAAAAGACTAATTAAAACAAATCCATGGTAAAACAGATCCAACTCACAACCAGGTGGTGATTGGTTGACAGCTCCGCCCCTCTCTTCACCCGAGTGTCTGAGACACGGGGTCGAAGGTCAGATGATACAACAGCAAAGTCGATCATCGGCCACCTTCGACCACTGCCCAGCCCTCTTAGCACCGACCGCCACGAATCCCTCTGTGGGTGGTGGGTCCACAGGAGGGCTTGCCCACGTCTTCCATTCGTTGCCACCAGACGTTCTCTTTTGAGCCTCAGCCCCAGGCCTGGCTCCAGGGTGGGGCCCCATGCCGGGTGACGTCACAGGTATTCAGCTTCGTCTGACTCGTCACCCGAGACCTGTTTGCCATGGGAGGCCCTACCAGGGGCATAAAGCCACAGACAACATAGCTCCCAGGATCATCAGAGTATTCAAACCCTTGAGTCCTGTGTGGAGTGTTAGGGGAGGAAGCCGGTCAGACCTGGCAGACCAAGGCGTGTAGTGAGGGTCTGCTGGAAACATCTCGCTGAGCCCCCTGTGTAGACAGACTTTCAACTCACACCTCCGGGAGAGCTTCTCCCAGGTCCTGGGGGAGGAGGGAGACATTGAGTCTGAGGCCCAGTTTCCACGGAGACACTGTAGCAGTAAAACGCTATAGTTGGATGTCGGTTGCTACCCCCCCCGTTCATAAGGAGACTGTGTTCCAGGGGGGTGAAACCGTAAGTGTTCAGATCCAGCCTGCAGAGTGAGACAGCTCAGATACGCTGCTCAGCGTGAAGGAAAAGGTGAATTCCCTGCCTGAGCTAACCCCCACCTCCCCGCACGTAAATTTGGACATGTGCAGTAGCCGAGAACAAACATAAACAACAATGGCGCGCTAACTAGCTACAGTACGTGTGCTTCGAGCGCTACACAGAGGATAATTCTACACCTTTGTTCGTCCAAACGAAACCATGCGACGCTCTACGTAGATTCAGTTTCTATTTTCGCAGCTGCTGTTAAAATGCAGAATTACGTTGGTGCATCTTTCATATCTTCCAGAGGAAGTGAGTATACTGCTGGGGGGTGCTGGGGGTCACGTGTGTTGTGTTGTAAAGCTCCTCTGCTCACTACTGTACGGGCGCTAGAACGACATTGTTTTGATACTCGTATGCACGCTGTGAAATTTGCATTAGGAGCCCGGCCGTTTCTGTTAATAGCCTGGAAACGTTTGCGCAGTGCCTCCGTATAAACTCAGCCTAAGTGGACCATGTTCTCCACCTCTATAGCCGATGTGGCGGCTATGGAGCTGTGGTTGGAATGTCTCTGGTGCTGGTCCCGGTGGCAACCCCCGAACCCGGTGGAGACCGGCAGTAAGGGATGCCGTCAGGCTAAAGAAGGATTCCTATCGAGCCATTATGGTTCGTGGGACTCCTGAGGCAGCTGTCAAGTACCGGCAGGCGAAGCGTGCTGCTGCCTGGGCTTTTGCAGCGAGCGTTGAAGAGAGTCTGGCAAACCGTCCGGCGCCTCAGGAGGGGGAAGCAGTTCTTTGCCAACACTGTAAGGTGCGGGTAGAGAGCTGCTGACCTTGACTGGGGATATTGTCGGGCGGTGGAACGAATACTTCGAGGTTCTCCTCAATCCCCCCGTCACGTTCTCCGTCCTGGAGGCAGAGGTTGAGGGTGTGGGGGCGGATACTTCCATCTCTTTGGCAGAAGTCACCTAGCTGGTTGGCAAGGC